ACGGCAACGATAGAAAACAGTACAAACCCTAAAAAAGGGCATGAAATTTGTGCTGTGAAACGAAGGGTGCGAGAACATGTTCCAGGGAAAAGGGCCGTGAGATTCTAATTTGAGCATAGAAAAACACGCGCGGGAATTTGTTTTCGTGCACGCAGGAAACTTAAAACACCATTATATCGGTTTGTGTGACGTGCAATTGTAAGATCAATGTACTAATAGTGATCTTGAATAGTCTTTGGCATACTAGGTACCACCATTTCAATATCATTGAAGGCGTCACTCTTCCTGACAATACATGTACCTTTGAAGAAACTGTACACGCTTGAACCCAGTATCTTCCTTGCAATAGTGATGTCTCTCGGAACAAACGGAAAGTTCTTAAGGGCTCTTTTTGTAGCAGCAAGCACTAGAGTTTTCTCACTTGGGTGCGCTGCCACATGACGAACCCTTTGTAACTGCTTGGACTTGAGTACATCACGGTTAGTACTCCTAAACTTATTTTTCTTTTCCTGAATGGTAGTAGGGATCGTGTGGTCAGCCATACAAACTTGTTTCCGTTGTACAAGCTTCTCTTCCGTGTCTATGACAATGTTATCTCCAAATATGACATTCAGTTTTCCTGGACCAAAGAATGGTGAGAAATCAAGTCGTTAATATGAACCTCTCCTGTCAGCACGCTTGAATTTTGTTCAAAACCCATGGGGAGGTTCAGCATGAAAGGCTTCTTTATCTCTGATACCCTTCTTATTTGGTCTGCTTGTAAAGTCAATCTAGATGTGATTTGTCTCTTGCACATGACGAAAAGACAATATGTTGGCTATCCCTTCTCATTGTATCCACACTGTTCCAACACTGGGTAAATCACCAGCCTCACTTAATACTGTGCTACCTGAATTAGTGAATAGGTGCAATCTCTTTGATGTCTTCTGGATGTTTACCAGGAACAAAATATTGCAAAAAAATGTGTACTGTCGACTGGTGATTGTCAAGCAAAATCCAGATGGATCCGTTATCACTTGTTGTACGAAACCATATACAGCTCTGATCTCTTCTTGGTCAAGTTCATCATCAAAATGGGCACCTAGCTCCAATGCCTGTTGCCACTGTTGTCCATCATCGCCCAATCAATTTCCGACGAGACACGCCTGCTGTTGATTCCAATTCTTATGCAACTACTACTTCACTGAATGATGAGTGTGTAAGTAGAGGTAGTAGCAATGTTGTTGAAATAAATTGAAATTAAAAAATCTTAATATTATACTATTTAACCTCATGGACTAGAAGAGGCACTACTATATGGCCAGAACCATAGCTTTTGGTGAAAAGCATGCTTCTAGTTGCTCCAAGGGGGGGCACCTCCCTCGGAGGATTTTTGATGGATATGTGACCTATGAAATAAATTGAAATAGATTGAACTAATGTTATGTTTTGTCTTTGATGAATGAACTAAAGAAAAGTGAGCTTATTCTCTCTGTGCTGAAATGCAGTGGTGTTTCTCCTCTCTTTGTCTTTTGTTTTCTCTATTGTTCTGACCATCCAGGATTGAATTCTTAAATTCTCCTAATGGTTTTCTGATTTGAATCGTACTGTCCTGCAATCATTCTTTCATTCATTTTTTCCAACACTTGCCATTTCTTTGGGGGGTGGCAGCAGAACAAACATTCTTGTTTGTGTTTGATTTTGGTTTTTCTGCTTGCTTCCATGGGATCGATTGAGGTTTGGGTTTTTGTTTTGTTTTGGTTGACCAAGATTTTGAGGATAGTGATTCCTGAATAGCTACTAGTGACTAACCCCGTCTTGCAAAATAGATGCACACTATTTTGTATGTAGTAGTACTAGTACTTAGTACTTCTTCTACTACTACTACTACTAGTAGTAATGTCCATACTACTTTGCTAGGACAACCACGCTTCTTGATCATTTAAAATGTTCACTGCAAGAAACTATTTACTACTACCTCTACTAGTGCTACTACTACTACTATTATACTAGTATTACTAGTAACAGTGTTGTTTCTCCAACCGGAAGTTCTTTCATAAAAATTGTATTGCTAGTATTTTTTCAAAAATGGTTCTTGTTGTTCTTGTAAACTGTTGGGTGTCCAGATCTGAGCAGGATTTGGAGCAGGAATACCGGGCGGTGGGTGCCAAAAACAGAACTTGATACGTTGTGAATAACTTCCATGGATTGGATTGGATTAGATTGGATTGGATTGACGAATGGGTAGTACGAAACATCGACGCGAGCGATTTCGCAGCGAACGACACGGAGGAGCAGGACAGCCGTTGCCGAGGAGGAATACCGATGCACCAACCGGTGCGGCATCGCATCGCATCCACGCGGGCCGAAGGACCCACCGACGAGGGGAATGAATCCATCCATCCACCCATTCATCAAGCACCCTCCGTCTCGAACGCATCAATCGAATTCCCATCCGGCCATCGAAAGGTTGTTGTTTTCTCCTTCGGCCGAGAATTCCCAGAGGAATCGAGCCGGCTCGGGCTCGAGGGGCGGAACCAGTAGCTGCGTGAGGCACGGGTCGGGGCACGATTCAGTGGTACCGCATTCGGTACCGCGGTCGGTAGAAAGGATGGGGGAGTCCAGCAGGTGTCTCTCTCGTAAGACTTTTGGCACAATCGCAGAGGGCTGTAGCCGAACAAGTTGATCGAGTTGCAGTTGCAGCTCTTGTTGTTGTTGTTGCAGCTGCTGCAGTTTCAGTTGCAGCTCTTGTTGTTGTTGTTGCNCAGTTGCAGCTCTTGTTGTTGTTGTTGCAGCTGCTGCAGTTTCAGTTGCAGCTCTTGTTGTTGTTGTTGCTGCTGCTGCTGGAGTGGCTTTCGCAAGCTGAAACCGGAAAGTCCCTTGGCTCGCTTTCGTTTGCATCTTCCTTGACTCTTCGTGCAAAGATTTCTGTTGCGGCTTGCTCTTTCCTTCAGGACTCGTTTCCGATTGTCGCGCGTGGTCTGTGATATCCGCTTTCGCAGTTCTCTGCGATCGTCACGATCCGAAGTGTCCAGGTAGCGGTACCACCCGACCTCCCTGTCGTAAACGGCGAACCGCAGGCCCTTGTTGCTTGCTTGCGACGACAAACCATCGATGATCTCGTCCATCATGGCACCGTTCAGTCGTGCGAAGCTTCTGCGCTTGGTCGAGGGCCAGCTGGCTTTCGAGAACGCGGGGTTGGGTCCTTGCTTGCGGCGGGCCAGAAAGGAATTCGCCTTTGTCTCCACGTCTTGCAAGTACTCCCGAAAGGCAACGTTTGTGGGGTAGTTGTAGGTGAGCCGGTCTCCAAACACAACGCAATTGGGCTCGGGACAATCGGTTCCCTTGCGGTAGTTCGGTGGAAATGGTTCGCCCTCTGTGTGTTTGGTACCGTTCCGAGGTGCCCCGTCTGCCTGTTTCTTCCGAAAGTTGTCAATGGCTCTGCGGGCCTTGAGGAATCGTGCCATCGACGAGCTACGGAAGCCAGGCTTGTTATACTTCCTGAGAGGCCTGCAGGAGGCCGGGATGTCATCGATCGAAATGCCATACTGGCACAGATATTGGCTGCACTCTAGATGATTCCCTATGTGTATTTTCGTCCGTGCTCTGCACTCAAACGGAATCATACAGAGGTGCACTGCCTTGAAGAAATGATATATCCGTTCATCTGGTACACAGATGTGCATGGCGGCCATTCGGAACGGAGCAGCCTCCATCATGTCTCTAAAAAGTTTTTGTTTTCCGGAGATGGTATCGAGTCGKAGTCTCGATAGCATTCTTTTTTCTACCCAGTGCCAAGTGTTATGTTCCTCTGTGTCGTTGTAGTAGTAGGGCTTGTTCTTCTCCTTGTAGATCGTAGTAATTTCGTCCCAGAATGGTTTGTGCTTTGATCTCTCCTCATCTTCGAGGCATTCTACTGCCTTGCATGGGTTGATCGAAAACCATGTTAGGCTAATGGCACCATGAAATTGTGTCAGCGTGTCCTCGGCCATGACCCCATAGGTCATAAAGATGTCAATCCTGTGGCGTTCTCTTTGCGAAAGAGATTCATCGAAGATTCCACTCGGCGTTGCAAAGATCCGCCGGCCCATTTTGTCTCTCGAAAGAAAGAGTTCGGTCTCGCCTCTGGAAAGCCAATCGGTCTCTTTTTCGGTCAGGTCGGACAGATACAAGGGTCTCAAAATGGCAATGTCACCAAAGAACTCGTGCATATGATTCAAACACTTGCAATAGCGTGTCGTAGCTTTGGAAACATCAAAGAATTCCGCTCTCAGAAAGCGGAGACGGAATTCCGGCTGTTGGACAAATTGGCCCTCCAAAACGGTTGTGGCCCGGATGTGGCCCCGGAGTAGTTTCTTCTGATCGTCTTTCGACAATGCATTGCATTCGACGATTTCTTTCTTGAAAGAATCTAGTGAAGTACAGCGCAGTTCCAACTCTTCTTGCATGGCTTTCAGTGCCGTCTCAATGAGTTCTGGTGTTTCTGGAACGGCCCGGGATTTTACTCCGTGTATTTCGTCCATGATTGCTTCTCGGTCCTCCTTTTTTGTTTCGTAGAGTTCCTTGGCCCATGCCTTGCATACTTTTTGAGAAAATTCATGGGAAACTTCGACCGGTGGAACCACAACGTCGTTGGTTTCGTCCTTCTCGTGCCCACCGGTCATGATATCAACCATTTTGGTAGCAATGTTCGTGATTTCATCTCCCAAGTCTTTAGCGTTCCCATGCCAACCCACATTGTTGCATTCTGTGGCAGCATTATCGATCATCGAGTTCGAAGGTCTCGTTTCTTCACCACTAGTTGTGGCATGATGTAGAGTGCAATCGTCTAAGCTGACCTTCCTCCTCTTTAGACCGCATATTTCAACATCGCAAACGTTTTCCATGATTGCTACTTCTCCTATTATCTTAGAATACGACTATCTATTACAGAGAAAAAAACGCTTCGATGCCGAAAAACGAGAAATAAGACAAAAAATATCAAAATATCGCAGATGTAACCAAAAAGAGAAGAAAAAACTTTTCCTTCCTAGGGTTTCGTTAGCGCGTGACGCAAAGTTAAGAATGTCAATTATTCAGGGCAATATATTATGATCGTTTAAGAGTGATATTTTTCTTTGACTCTGTTAATTGTGAAATACAGTACAAAACGGCCGGTACAATATTATTGAACGGGATGATAATTTTATGTATGATATTTAACTAAGGATACATCATGGGGGGAGATAAGATTAATTCGAATCCAAAAAGAGAAGCAAAAACTTTTCCTTCCTAGGGTTTCGTTAGAGCGTGACGCAAAGTTCAGAATGTCAATTATTCAGGGCAATATATTATGATCGTTTAAGAGTCTTATTTTTCTTTGACTCTGTTAATTGTGAAATACAGTACAAAACGGCCGGTACAATATTATTGAACGGGATGATAATTTTATGTACGTATGATATTTAACTCATGATACATCATTGGGAGATAAGATTAATTCGAATCGAACAAGAAAATTCCTAGTTCTTTATAGCTGACGCCATGCATTATGTAATTAAATATTGCCTCTTTCAGTCATGCAAAGATTTCGGGTRWTCTGTTCTCTTAGCTGTCAATCAGAATGACGACATTGACTTCATAAGACTGGAAGAATACAGTACGAGTACGTACTGTACCATAATAAGTATTATTCCGAGATCATCTCAACACGACATGTCGCACGAGACATGATTCATGATGTCTGTTCCTTCCAATCACTCTCGTTCCTACTGATAATACCTACTAAACATACATTGCCTTATGATACTCGTTGTTGGGGTGGGTCCGTGAGCTCCAGAGTGTCAATTGTGACCAAGAAGTTGTGGCGCAAACTCTTTTTTTTGTTTTTAGGCGATGCTAAAATGAAAATCAATCACTCGATCGCGTAGAAAACTCCTAAAGGTTTCTGTGTGTACCAATGTACCGTACGGTGCTGTATCAGCATTTCGAAACAAATTTTGTCGTCGCTTGTGATGCAATGCCACCACTAAACATCAATGATCCCGAAACACAAAGCATCAAAGCCAAACCGGCGTATGGTATTCTAACGTACCTCCAAGCCGCATTCCCAATGCACCGGCTCCCGGTTGCCCTGCTGTAAGTTCTATTCCCATCGGCCATCGCGTACCATTCATATTTTGTCCGTACCGATCAACAGTAGAACACGAGAACAATCTCCAAGCCTGCGTGTCCAATCGATATACACACACGTACGCACACACGCACGCACGCACACACACATCGCACCGCACGTTACGTACGACGAGAACGGTGATCTGCAGTACAATACGAGGAACATGGCAGCCGTGCTTTCGAGCAGCCGCAGCCGGAACAGCACGGCCTGGCCGGTGATTGCCACACTCGCCGCGGTGGCGTTCGCCGCCCTCGCGGCCTCGGTTGTGGCTGCTTCTCGCACACGGGACAGCAGCAGCAGCAGCAGCAGCAGCAACCCAAAGGACGGAAGCCCACCACCCAACGACGCCCATCGCAACAGAGAGAACGAGAACGAGAACGAAACCAAGCCCCGGCGGGAAGAACCAACGCTCCCGGATTCACCGCCTTCGCCGTCGTCCTCGGAGAACGCCGCGCCGACCGTTGCGGCGGAGGACGAATCAGAATCCACCACCGAGGAAATCGCGGGGGCAGCACCCGCGACGCACGGGAACGACAGACCCGAAAAACGACGATCGCTGTCGCCGAGAACGCCCCCGAGGACCGACAAGGGAAGGAAATGGAGGGAACGCGTGTCGGCCAAAAAGAAACTCAAGCTCAAACTCCAGCAGCAGCAGCAGCAGCTGCAGCTGCAACAGCAAGAACCAGGGGAGGGGCAGTAGAAAACGAAACGAGACGAGACGAGACGAGACGAGACGAGACGAATCGAATCGAATCGAATCGAATCGAATCGAATCGAATCGAATCGAATCGAATCGAATCGAATCGAAACGAATCGAATCGAATCGAATCGAATCGAATCGAATCGAATCGAATCGAATCGAAACGGTATCAGAACGAAATGCTATGCCGAGCAGCCGAGCAAGCACCAATCGACGCAACAATCTGAAGAAATCCGTAAAACACCTGTTTCGGTTTTGTTTCGGTAACAGCGGCGGTGACAGCCACAGAAGGAAGTGGACTTTGCTTGCTGCGCATTTTGGTTTCAAATATATAATCAGCAAGAACTGGTGCTCAGAACCAGAAATAGAAAATCGGCAATCAATGCACCAAACATGTGCTAGCAGGCACTGTTTGCGGGCAAGACGAATTTTTGGGATTCATTTGGCATGGATTATCTTTGGAGTGGGGGTCGTGTTGCGTTGCAGGTTGCATTGCAGTGTGACGGTGTGTGGCTCGGATTGTGTTTCGAAAACCTCCGCGAGACGGGAGAATCCGAGCCACCAAAGAGCGCGTTGCGGGGGTAAGGACGGAATGGAATGACACGGAACCCTGGCGGTGCGATAGAATGGATAGCAAGMAACGGGTTGGAGAGCAATGCACCGAAACGGCCGATCGGTGGGCACGTTCCCTTGGTTCTGTTCTCCTTCCTTTCAAAGCATCCCCAAAAGAGATCGCATTGCACTGCATCCACTGATGATATCTATCGTGGACGATTGGAATGGATGCTGTCAAACTATACTGTGTATGTTGATAACCAGTTGATAACCAGTTGATAACCAGTTGATAACCATCGAACTGCGGCACGATAGAATGCAAAGAGCTTTCCGATCGATCTCCTCTCTCGCGGACCTAGTTTCGTTTTTGGTCCTTTCTTTCCTTACATGAGAAAAGGCGTCGCAAAAAATTCTGCGACACAGTGTCGCACTGTGCCGTGCCATGGGATTCCATGCCCTGGCTGGCCACACACCGTTGATAGGCGACAACCACAACCCAATGGAAAACGCAAGGCAACAAAACAAAACACAAAATAAACGACCCTTTTCATAGAATCAAACGTGCTTCCTACTTTTGCGTTAAGGAGCATGGGTGCCGGTCTGAACCAGCGGGGCCGAAAAAATCTGTTGGGCCAACGGCGACCGACAGCAGTTTCCCATTAAGTGTTCTACAGTTTAAAAAACGATCGTAGATCTTAAGCGTGACGCCGTTAAAATACAGTACTAGGTTTGAATAGCACTCCATGGATGTCTACGTCGGCAAAAGAGTTAATTCAGTCCACCTATCTAGACGATGTTCTTTGGTTTTCGTTTCGCTTGCAAAGCGCTCCCTGGAACGTGGAGATACTGTGCGCGGAGTGCCTTCGCACGAAGGGGCACGAACCGTTTCAGGCGTGTTGGTCGGAAGCAAAAATCGGTTCCGTAGTTACCAGTCCACAGGTCCACGCCAGTTCGGTGATTGAATTTGTGTCGTGAAATTGTGTTCTTCGCTCCACGTACCGGCCGGTACGGTAAAATTCTGAAGTTCGTGATGACCACCTACGTACCTACCCCCGGTCGAAGAACTATATTTTTTTTGACGTTTTTGATGTCAGCTATACTCGTACTACCGGTATTTAGCTATTTAGCTACGATGTGTACGGTTCAATACAGTGTTGACGAAAGATTTTTCGGCAGTAACCTACTGGTAGTAGAAGATCTACGTTAAGTACAGGAATCATCTCTTTCACGGAAAATGACGAGATGATGAATATCATGAGCGAAACAAAAGCGAAGGTGTCTCTAATTTGAGCAATGTTTCATCTAGATGGGTGAAGTGAAGCGCACAATTCTAAGATAAAGTTTTTCCAGAAGTATCTTGATCTGAAAGGTTTCGTCTGTTGCCAGATACGTTCGCATTTAGTACGATCGACGTAGCTTGAGCTGACACGTTTTGGTGGAGCCTGAAATGGTGTCGACTGCAGCAGATGATCGAATGCAAACAAGTACAGAAGAARTAAAAATTCAATGCTTTCTAATCTTCGGCAATTGCCCACCTACCCACCTAGATATTCCAACAGTTCGTACCGTACAATGCAGCACGAATGTAGTAAATTCATCTCTGCTGTACTTTGTTCCAACTGATAAAGATGGTTTGTGACGAAATATCTGAGGGAAATTAGCAAATTAAGTTTTTTCCATGATCGGAAATTTGTATCCGTGTTTGATTTGTGGTGTGTGGAATAATGTCCTGTGTAATTGGATCAGTGTTTTGATCAGCCGTCTTTCTGCTGTTGCGTGTCTATTCTATCTCGGATACAGGCGCTCAACAATAAGTCTGATATGATTTGTGGTTTCTTGCGTTTATACCGTACTCTACCTTCAACCTTTCGCGTTGCATTCTCTGCGAACGACGGAGTGGATGGAACGTGTGGACGACTCGCATACGAATCAAAACATTTTCGTCCATTTCACTCCATAGCAACCGTTGGTTTGATTGGCTTTCGATAGTATGTACTGTATTTACGCCTTGCATGTCATGTGATGGTTCATCTCCCGGTTTGTCATAATGTATTGTGCCATGGTGATTTATGTCCTGTGTTGACGTCATCGACGCCTATTTGTTTGGGTGTTATTTTCTAGTCTTGTCTTGTCATTGCCAAGTTCTCTCGAAATTAGCTGCAATTGGTCCGGCAGTTTCTTTTAAGGCTTAGACATTGATGCAGTTGTAGCTTGTGTCATGCGTTTTGTCTCTTTGCGGAAGACGTCACTGGCAATCGTGGATGTGGTAGCACCGTCATCAGGAACCTCATTTCTCATCTTGCTCTTTCCTGTCGGCGCAAAACGAGACGAGAGGAACGCCAGAGGAGCCAGAAGGACTTTATGGTATCTTGTTATGGTCACCATCTCAGGAAACGGTGCGGCTAGATGCGAGACAAAATACCCGCAAGATTACTTAAAACATGAATTCGGAAAGCAGGAGTGGAGAGGGTGACGAAGATTGTGACTACGTGTATGTGGCTTTCGATAGCACGTACGTAGCGTTCTGAAAGCGCAAACAATAAATCAGTACCGTAAAGTACTAACCGTACACTACTTCCCGTAGCCTTAATTTTCAAACGAACGAAAAAGATAAAGGTATTTCAACATTATTGGTTGAAAAAGTGGCAACGAGAGACCAGCACGAAAAATTAGTGCGTAAGCGAACTCGTACAAAATTGAGGGCAATAGGAATGATTGTTCGTTAACGGTACGTACAAACATTTACTGAAATGAAGAAAAAGGAAACCTACGTTACAAAAAAAAACCTTAAGCATTGCTCCTTGAGGTTTTCCTTAAATGGAAATGAACAGCTTGATATTCCTCTCCTCTCATTCCAAAAAGAAGAACATCTTCAAAATACTTCAGTTCTGTGAATATCTTGAAAACAAAATTGCTTATATATAAGTATGTTCTTTGGTATCGAACTACTGACTAAAATTCTAGAAGTTTAAACGAACCGATCTTAAGAGAACTTCCACAGTTCCTGATTATGTTAAGTGTCAAAACTCTTATTGAAAGGACTGCGCTTGCGTCATGCATCGTTATTGATATTCCCAATATTTTCTTGGATGATGTAAGAACATTTGCTTCAACGTGCTTGTCCCATTCCGTTTCAATGAGCTGTTGCGAACTTCCACAGAACTCGTGATGTCATTATTTCCTATTCGAGCAGACTGGAGGATTCAAAACTATTGGCTGAGAAAATCTTCTCCGTCTAGTGTTGGAAATTATCATCTTGGTAGCGCTCGTTAAAATTCAGCTATAGTTCAAGAACTTCTCCCGTAACGAGGTACAAAATTCCGACAAAACAAGAAACGTCGGATTTACATAATCACCGCGGGAGGCACTGCCGGGCTGTTTCAAAAGAATATGAACCCCAAGGAACTGCTAGCACCTGCTGCTCGATGACAAAAGAAATATCACTGACTAGCGACGAATTCAAGTAACTTTCAGATGAAGAATAAGTACGAACCGTACGGTGCGAGTTACATACCCTACTGTACAAATGTGCTCGTAATCTAAATCTGGAATCTACTTTACTATAAACGTACGTATCATATACTACATACCATAGGCAAGCAGTAGGTACGGTATGTAGTACGAGTACTTACCCACCGAAAGCGCCTGTCGAGTCAACGTAACGGTACGACCTAGATGGTCGTGCATCCAATATTCAATCAGAAAACATCGAACACAAGGTACGCACAAAAAGTTTAAGACGCAAGCAAAAACAAAGAAAATGAAGCCAAAAACCATGGATTTTTACCTTATTAAAAGCCGGGGTGGATTGCGTTCGTGTTGGAAGATCTGTTGGGATGGAAATTTATCAATGAATCAAGTCGATGTCTCGCTTTTTAATCGTCTTGATCCGCAATAATCGACTTAGATCCATAGCTTTCCTTAGATCTCTTCAACTTCAGCAGTTCCCTCCCTTGATCTTGACACTGCTTCTCACAGCTTGATCTGCAGCAGCTGTACCCTACCGCTACGTGCCATCTACCCTATGGATTTAAGTCGAGACATCGACTTGATTCATTGATAAATTTCCATCCCAACAGATCTTCCAACACGAATTCAACATGGTCAAAATCCTAATGGATTGCAACATTTCATAGATTGAGATCTGGAAAGTTTCAATTAACAAAGGAAGTTTATAATGTTATTTGAATAATGAAAATAGTGCACATCTAGTCCAAAACAAAACAATACAATATCATGATTATAAATGTCACACTATCTTGAATTGAATCATCCATCTCCCTCGAATCATCACCCCAGGATCCCGGCTTCCGCGGCCTGGGCTTCTGCTCTGGACGCCATGTATGAGGCCATGAGAACTGCCCCGGTGACCGTCATGCTCAGCACAATGGGCGCAAGAGCATACTCATAGGCTATGACCTTAGCCATAGACTCCTTCATGCTTCCACCACCGCTTGTGTTGCCAATGCCACTCCCGCCGCTCAGTTCTACCATGACCATTACATTGTTTGCGGTCGGGCACAAAAAGACGATGAGGAGGACCAGGTAGAGCCCACCGGCAATGTCGTGGGGGACGTCGTAGATCTGATCAAGAGCTAGCGTCGACAGCATACCGACGACCGGCATGGCGACCATCTTGCCAAAGACCACCAGCAGGGTGGTCCTGGTCGAAAAGCCATGTCTTTTTTCCCGATTGGCGCCGCCCGAACCGCTACATCCACCACCACCCTTCGCTTTCGTCTCCAGCATGTATGAGGCGCTCAGATTGCACCCTAGGATAATCATATTGATGGGAACCGCCGCCTTTCCGGCCTCGTAGAGCCCGTCGAAGAACCACTGGAGGGGGGCTGTTCCATTGCGATCGACAATATCGACGAAGACACCACGAATGGCCGGGAGCGAGGCAAAGAGGAGACCGAGCAGCGCAGCCACCACCGGGGGTTGGAGGCACCGCTTCGCCACCGTGAGAAAAGTGTCCAGCAGTTGCTGTTGTGAGGAGGAGTTGCCAGAGGAGGTCGAGGACTCCGAGGCGGACCGAGTCAGCGGTGTGGAACCGGGTTCGCCACCAGTCCCATCGGAGTTAGAGGCAAACTGCGGTGTTGCATCCGCATGGGTTGTTCCCAGCAACGACGTGGTTTCAGATGCTGCCTGGTAAGGGGGATCACAGTTTTCAAACGTGGTGGTGACGATATTCTCATTGTCGTCGTCCTCCTCCGGAATTGAGTCCTGACCGCTGAGGTCCATTCCAACGCCGTAGACTTCCCCATCGTTGGCAGAGTGGCCCTCCTCCTCCGGGATGGATTCCCTACCACTGAGGTCCATTCCGATGTTGCAGCCACTGTCGCTGTTGCTGTAAACGCCATGGTCGTTCGAAGAACCACCTGATCCCCCAAACTGGTAAAAGCTCCCCTTCCGACCCTCGGCCCAAAGCGGCTTCCCCCATCGGTTGAGATTCTCCTGAACGCTCCAGTACATGGAGGCGTCCGTGCTTTCCAGACCACGGTGGGTTATACGATATGTTTCTGGCATCTCGGTAGTGTTGTGGACGACGTTGTTGGCCAGAGTCTGCTTGGTCTTTTGGCCGGCGTCTTTGATGGATTTTTTAATGGTCGACTTAAAGGAGAGCTGCCTCTCGGTGAGAGGTGTGTGTTGGTATATGTATTGTTGCGTTTCCTGCTGCTGCGTCGGCCCCTGTTGGTGCGCCATGCTCCCACMGCCGTTTCCGTTGTATTCACCGGATTCGATCATCCTTGTGCTGGGTGGTGTAGACATCGGCAATCCCTTGTTCTTTGACCTGTCCCCACTCTGTTCCCTGCCGCTACCAGCCATTTTTCTGTCGTTACTCTCCGGCGGAGCCAGCAGCACACCACCGATCCCCCACTGCAGCACGGGATACAGGACCAGATACACACTGAGAAAAAGGGTGGGATCGACGCTACCCAGCGCGGAAGAGGCCCCGAAATTGGAGTGGATGACCGTCAGGAGCGTGATGGGAAGGCCGGTGGAGTTCCCAAAGGCGACCGCCGCCAGGATGCTGTTTCTTTGGTGCAGGGAATCCGTGTTCGAATCCACCGCCGCGAGCCTCACCACGCAGTGCCCCACGCAGATGCCCATCGTGCAGACCCACAGGGGCCACACCGCCAGGATCCACACGTCCCTCAGCGAGGAGGTGACGTCGGGGCAGGGGTCCTCGCTCCAATCCTGGTTGCAGTAGAGAATCTTGGTGAAGAAGAGGAGGGGAATCGTCACCTGCTGGGATATGAGGGCGAGGGTACGCTTTCCGTTGCCCACGACGAACCCGCGCTGGTGCAAATAGATCCCGACCGAGGCGAGGGTGCAGGCGGTTCCGACCGACTTGACGGAGGCCAGAAAGGTGGCAACGACGGTTCCGTAAATGCTGTCGTTATTGTTCATGGTGGCCGCTTTGTTGGTTGGCGAKGTGAGGCGTGGCAATGCCAAAAAAGCAGGGCAAGACGAGTCTATGGGGAAAATAATTAGCTTTGATTCGATCCGATTTGTCTGAGTACACTTTAGTTGTTTAAGCGAGATGCTTATGCGACTCTTGATCGCCTGCGGGAGAAGATTGTGTATCTCGGGATCGAAGCACGAAGAGCTAGCAGTGGTCTTCTTTCATGAGGAGTTATTTTTTTGTGTTCGCAGATGTTTGGTGTTTGGCGGTGCAGGTGAAGTGAGAATACTGGTTGTGCCAATTCGAATGCGAGACCTCTCGGTGAAACTACGGAACTACTGTACTTCGTTTCGAGCGGCCAGGATGTGATGCAGCGGACAGGGTGCGAAGGAACAAAATACAAAAAATGGGTAATTGTTCCGGATTGTTTTGAGAGTGATATTATTTTAAGATAGGAGAGAATCGAGACGGCACGGGTCGGATTTTCGCCCTACGATTATGTGTACACTCCACTACTACTCGTGCCGTCAAGTGACCGTTGCGGCAATGATCGTACCGTACGTACGTACTTGTACTGTACCGCCGTGGCACTCACTTCCTTTGGGGTTTGTTTTTTTGTACAGTACCATACTGTACCATATGACACACTTACAGACACAGAAAAATGACTGCAAGGGTTACTTGTACGGACCGTACCTCTGTGGCCATTCGATCCTCGATATTCGTTGTGAGTGCAGCAACAGAAGGCAAAAAATCATGAATCTTTCCGAATCTACGGAATGGTACGCAAGGGTCATAAATGGGACGTACGTATCGTAGGTACGAGTACGTTCTGTGGACTTTTTAAAAATCCGATAACGTACGAGTACCGTACGTTCGAGTACATACTTACCGTACCGAAACAGAAGAGTACCACTCGTATGCGTACCGTACAAGTTTCTCAAGTTATGCGGTACACAGAGACCAGAGTGGTCTTATCGTATGTAAGACAGACCCCTGATGTAAGATATATCTACCAGGAACAATATCATTCTTTCTCTTGCTTTTTTCCCTTGTTGGGGGTCCTTTTAGCGCATAAATTTTCGTTCATCGACTCAAAGAATCCCTCGATCGCATCATCCATTATCGAAGCAAACCCCTAGCGTTCGTACTATCCCATCCAAGAGTGTAGTACATGACTAATCTCCCTACTTATCTGTTAGTAAGTCTGCGGTTTTCTCATAAGCCACTTTCGTAATTAAGTACTCTTTTGCTGTTTCAATTCGTGAATCTTTAAAATTCATCAACATCTTGAGCCTGTTAAGGAGTCATACCTGATACCTCGGTATCAGCGTATCAGGTATACCTCCTTAACAACCTCAACATAGCAATAAGTGGTGAAGCATCCTATGATTCATTTGTGGGGGGACCATGCGTCAAGGCTTGAGCAAATATATTTACATGCGGAGTTAGCTTGAGTTCTATCGAATCTATGCCATTCATGGGTAGGTCCGTACCTCTATCTATTAGTAAGCTTGCGGTGCTCTCGTGATTCTTTTTCGTCCTAGAGTTTCACTTTTTCTGCTGCTTCACTTTGTGAACAGCTTCACAGCTCATTTCCATGTTTAGGTTGTACACCTTAACAGCCTCAACATGGTCATCAGCTGTCCAGCACTTACGCGTGATCTTCCAGAAAAGTAACTACATTTATAGAAGTACTTAGCTCAAAGTTCCTTCACCAAACCCAACTGACGACGTCGGCCCAAAGAAAAACAGGCGGGTCGGCTCTTGGATCGCCCCTCCGCAACAAGCACAAAGCAGAAGTAACGGCCTTTCTGTGGCAACGGGGCGTACTGCTATTGCTGGTTCGAGGCGGTTGCCGAGGTCTATTGCGAGTTCCCGATTCAAGGCGGGCTGACAGGAGCGTCCGGGCCACGGAGCGATAGCAGCGGGTGGAGCACCCGAACCTCTACTCCACCAAGCTCCGTGCATGCGAGCAACAAGCAAGTCGGGCGGCCGTGGGACCCGCTGTTCCCCGTAGTTTCTGCTGCCTCCGCCGCTGGATCCAAAGGAACGGCTCGGCAGCGATCGAGATTTCGGTTCTCGGGACAACCCCCTGCCAACACCCGATTCTTTCCTGGCTTCGTTCGCGGAAGAAATCGATCAATGACCGATGCGGCGACCCTCTCTGCCCTCATGCGACTACTGCGTGGCGCACTCTGCTTTGTTGCCGATCACCGGGTACGTTTTGTTGTCGTTTGAGAAGCAGACTGTACGATGGCAAGGTGCCGCGATGCTTGTGTGGTTCATCCATCTATCTCAGTCGACGTTTCTACCTTGATAGAATGATGCTGGCATGCTATCAACAAGAAGTTCAACCATCAGAAATCTATACCATTGCATTGAAGCAACTGGCATGTAAATCAATATCTTCTGCCATTTCAATAGAAAACAACCAAACAATATTCGCACCATTGGAATTTTCTACCAATTCATTGAAAAAGCACAAAACAATCGAAATAAATTCGCATGCCCCAATACAACTTTTCAACATTCTCATGAATGACGTAACTAGAAGTTTCGACCAATCCATCGGAGGAAAACGGAATATAAGCGTAGAGGGTGTGTATATACCACAAGACGTTTTCTACCTTTCTAATTTAAATCAACATACCAGGAATGATTATGAATACCGTTGAAAAACTCGAAAAAAGCAACATACAGCCAGMCCACGTCGATTCATACCACTTTAATTTCGACCATTGCTTCTACTCCATTGAATCAATCCGCTGTGCCACGCTACGAACCGAGATGCCCATTGCGCGTTATGAATTGCATCCCAAAAATTGCTTCGAGAGTATGTATAGTTTATTAATGGCCTACAGTAAGATATGGAAAACGTCGTTCCCCGCTTTTGGTTCAACTTGGACCAGTAGTCCAGCGTCGTTCCTTCTCGGGTGGTTAACTGGTGCTTATTGTTTTTAAAAGATATTGTGCAGCTGTGACATAGAGTCATTCCATGGGATCAGAATTCTATTGGCGACTGATCTGACTACGGAAAGACATCGTGTAGAATTCCAAAATAGAGAAGCACCAGCCATGTGCATCCCACTAGCACAGAAAGCGATGCCGAAAACACCTCGATGCGATAGGCTGTCGTAAAAAACTTTTCCCTGTTACCGCTGTCGTCGTTGCTGTTATTGTCGGTGCTGGCATCCCCGTCGTCGCTGTCCTCCACGCTATCATACAGTCCCGGTGACGATCCAGCGTTGGACAGCCTCGTACTCACGGCTCCGTAGCAAGCCGCGAATCCCCCCATCGTGGCAATGCTCGATGCACAAAACGAACCGAGGTACGCGATCGAGTGCCAGAGGTTGTGCAGCTTGACCGCCGGCACGACCCCGAGCACGCCCCCGGGCCCGGCAACCCCGTGGACGATCCCAACGCACAGCGCCAAGAACTGCTTCGACAGAGAGGGGGAATGCGATTCGTGGTCGTGTTGGTCGTAGAACGAGGCGTGCGAGTCATCTATTCCCATCGCTTCCATAGGGCGATGCGGCTGGTCTCGGGCACGACTGTTAAAGGACCGCTCTTCGTCGTCTACCTCTTCACCTGCAGCATTGGGTGGGAGAACGTTGTGCGAGGCCTCATCCACACCTTCTCCCAAACCGAAAGGATGGTCGCTTCGTTCTTGTGATGTTGATTCGTTTTCACGAGGCAGAAAATGGGCGTGATAGTGGTGGTGGTGGTGGCCAAATATGGAATCCCGTCGTTTTCGATGGGCTTGGTAGAGGCTGTAGCAACCCAATCCTAGCATGAAGAACCCCACAAAACATTCGGCCATGCTTTCGATGCGCTCCGGCACTTCGATCGATCTGGTTCCATCGTCGTCGTTGACGTCGTCGTTTTCGCTGCCGGAACTGTCCGGACGGCCAGGGTGGCTATTTTCCAGACCGATGAAGATGGATGCCACCAACACCAATCCGATCGAGTGACCGATTCCCCAGCGGATTCCATACCCGGCGGCTCTCCACCGGCTTTCGGCGTTCACGCTGAGCGTAGCAATTGCGGACAGGTGGTCGGGTCCCGTGAGTACGTGAACGACACCCATGGCCTGCTTTCGTTTGATTCGGTTTGGTTCGATTCGATTCGATTCCATTGTTTGTTTCACGATGATAATTGGATAGATCCGTTGTTGTTTCGTTTTGCGTTGCAAGACATTCCAAAATAGGAATATACAGCACAAATACAGTGTGGCACAAAGAATTGTTAAGAAAGAAATCGCAAAAAATGTGGGAGAAAAGGAGAATGTGTTTAGCTCAGGCAAGGAACATTTCACTTCTTCTGTGTTACAGCATATGGCCCCTGTATTTATCAGATAATGTACATGCAGCATCGAACGTTACAGAAAACCAAAACGATAACGTCCCACTTACAACGCCGGTAGCACATAAAGTTATCACCGTGCTCATTGCGATTCTTTTCTTTTAGTTTTTGTGATGGAGCCGACAAATTATGCACTCGCGATCGATAGAATTTGGATCTTGAGAGCGCTGAATTGAGCAGACCCGAAACGTGTCTCTTCCGGTAGTGGTGGTGTTTTTAGATTTTAGAATATGAACAGGATTGAAACAAAAAGGAAGCTACAGCAGCCGAGTGGCACCTGTAGTGGCGTTCTTCGTTAATTCTTGATGATGATTTTCCATGAGTCTATTACTCTTCACCGTTGACACTCTCCGGTAGTGGACCAGGATGGTGGTGATCATCGTTTTCAGGCACAACGTAATCCAACTTTCCTTGACAAGGTTCTCCGAATTTCCACCTCTTCTTCTAACGCTTGAATAACGTCCTCATACTAGGCGGAAAGAAATAGACCTATCTTCTTGCTCACTCGTGACTCATTCGGAACAAAAATTATCATTCGATTTTAATTTAAAAACGTACTACCGTCCAGACCTACCGTACCTGTCAGTAAGGTACGTACGTAGCAGAAACGAAAATCGCGGACAGACCAAGAGAACTCCATGAAAATCTGAAAGTGAACGAAGCTGAATAATCAAACCGAACCCGAGACAAGAACCCTCATGTCAATGGTACAAGCACTGGTATGATCAGCGTACAAGTTCACAGATATCCTTTGGTATTGTTCGATGTTCGAAGTGTCAGGCATCGTAGCAGCAGAGACAGCACCGTGCGGGTCCTCTTCTTTTTCGTTGACAACCGAGAGTATCTAATCAAATACTGAGTGTGTCGTTCCATCAGCCGATGCACGCTCCCCTCTCCAGAAGAGAGGGCAAAGAACCCGTTTCTTGAAATCTGAAAGAATGCCATAAAGCAAACAAATCAAATCTATGCGCTTGTAATATTTTGCAAAACTTATGGTAGGCAACGCAATAGCCACTTTAGAGCAGAGTATCTTATTACAGAATTCCAAATTAAATACAGCATTAGATCCATCAATCGATCCGATTCCCCATTCAACAATTCATCGATCCATCCTGAAAGAAATCAGCTATGACCCAAGAAGTTGATGAAGTGCTACGTTCACTCTCACCGGAAGAATCGGCCGAAAATGATGGATCCAATCCTTTTCCTCACCACCACGTCCAATGGGTTGGAATCAGTGGTGGCGGCGAGCGCAGCAATAGCAGCAACGACAGCGGTACCCGTGGCAGCAATGTCAACGATGGCGATACCAAAAAGACTACGGGAACTGACGAGGGAAGCATGAGCAACACGTCGACTCCGAGGAGGCCCTCGCCAAAGCAAAAGCAAAAGAACACTATCGATGATAACACTCGTCCAGAATCATTCGATCCACGATTCAGCGATCTTCCTTCCGCCGTAGGTGCTGCGAGAGAGGGTGGCCCCCATTTTTCTCTTTTGACCGGGATGCGGAAGGATCTCAGGGCTCGCATACCTCTATACCTCGGTGACTGGAAGCGACCGGATTCGTTCTTCAAGGTGTTGAACGCGACTGTATTTGCCTTTGTGGTCCAGCTCATCCCTGCCCTGATTTTTGCCGAGCTTCTGGACAAGACCACCGAAGGATCTTTGAGTGTGACCGAGACGCTGCTGTCGGCGGGGATTATTGGCATAATCTATGCTGTCCTGTCCGGCCAGCCGTTGGTTTTGGTGGGAATCACCGGGTGCGTATCATCTCGAAAACCTGCATGCAACGATTTTATTTTTCTTCCTCACAAACAGGCGTCTAAAAATCTAAGGATTCATTGTCTTAATTTTTTTGGTTTATTTTTTGCATTGATCACGTGCTGCATTGTGATGGAAAAGGCCCGTGGCAATCTTGCTGGGAAATTCGTATCGACTGGCAGACCAATTCCAATCGGAGTACTGGCCTTTTTTTTGGTGGCTCTGCATTTGGACCTCGATTCTACATCTTGTCACAGCCATGATCGGGTAAGTCATATGGCTTCAAAGTGGAAAGACGAATGTTGGTGTTGTTCGGAGTATGGACCATGAAGTGGTCTTCATCTGATTCGTATTAGAACGCAGAGAAACCTCTTCAAATAGTTCTCCTTTTCCCCTTTCGTTACGCTGGTCCCTTGGTCAGAATGTATGCTCGTGCCCATGCATGCAGGTTGATATTCATCTTGTATTCTCAAAAATATAGTGCTTCTAACATAATATTTCCCCTTGCTAAAATTTGTTAGTCTCGTTGATGTTGTCTGGACCATTACACCCTTCACAACCCAAATATTCGAATTCTTTATTGCCTCAACTTTTATTTTCGAGAGCATTCGGGATCTTTTCGAACCTCTTCAATTGAGTCAATCTACCTCTTCCCTTCTTTTCGATGCTCCCGATGATAAAACTTCGAATGATGACACTATGCAAGGACAGTTGCTCATGGGAAGCAATATCAATTATAGTTCCTCAATGCAACGATCAGCAGCCTATGCTGGATTGGTAATAGGTATCGGGACCTTTTATCTTTGTTGGGTCTTGCATTTTGCAGATACCTGGCTTTCCTTCAACAATTCCTTTCGAACTTTTTTGTCATCGTACAACATGGCAATTTCACTAGTAATTATGACGGGATTGAGCTACGTTCCAGGAATTGACCAGAGCGTTGCCTATGTCCAATCCGATGGTCGCATGGAGACCCTAGGTGGTATCGAGCGCGTTCACGTGGCAGTTCCTTGGGACTGGCAGCCGACGGTTGATCGATCTTGGGTAGTCAATCCACTTGTAGGGATCTCCACCGAGGGCATCTTTGGGGCACTCTTTCCGGCAGTCATGCTCTATCTCTTGTTTTTCATTGATCACAATATCAGCAGCATTCTTACACAGTCTCCAAAATACAACCTTACAAAGCCCCCGGCTTATCACTGGGATTTTTTCATCCTTGGCCTAACCATTCTCCCCTGCGGAATTTTGGGSCTTCCACCTGGCAGTGGCCTGATTCCACAGGCACCCCTCCATACGCGGGCCTTGTGCACCCGCAAATACGAGACCTTGCATGGTCGACAGCACGAGATCTTTGTTGATTGCGAAGAGCAGCGCTGGTCGGCTCTCTTTCAGGCAGTCCTCATGTTTGCCGCACTAGGTTCCATGAGAGTAATATCATGGATTCCCGTAGGTTGTCTCTTTGGCATATTTTTGTACCTCGGAGTTGGCGCCATGCATGGGAATGAGATTTGGGAACGAATCACCCTTATCGTGGTCGGTCGAGAATCGAGGCCCCAGATCCCCGTAGTGAAACACGTGAAGCAGTGGAAGACAGTGGTAGCTTATACCACCATTCAAGTCGCCTTGGCGGCAGTCACCTTTTCGATTGCCCAGTTCGTCTCGTGGGGTTACGTTTTTCCGGCCCTCATTGCGGGCTTTGTCCCTATCCGGTCCTTTCTAATCGTCAGACTTTTTGACGAAACCGATTTGAAGTACCTGGATCCCATTCACGAGACTGACGATGATTACATTGCAGAACTCATCGAGTACGAAGAATCCCAAAAGCCTAGACATGTTTCCGAATTTGGCCTTGGATTGTCAGAATTTCGAATTGGAAATGTTCCCCACGATCCAGATGAGTACTACGAGCGACACCCCGAATACCAGGTTTCCGAGAGATCCTTTGGCAGCAACCACAGCCTTCGGAGCTCTCCGTTTTAGGATACACAAAATGTATGTAGTTCTCTAGCAGACATGACCTCATATGTAAATTATATGTGGCATTTGTGAGTGAATCTACAGCCTTCCCACGCAACTCTATCTAATCTTTTGTTATCGAACATCAAAATTATTCGTGTTTCTACGAGAGATCTTATCGTTCAGGCCATTCACTTAAAATTTTCACAATAACATGAGGTGACAATGATGCGAATTCCGGGATGATTCGTGTTCAATTAGAGATTTGTCGTTTTTCGATTCCCATCATTCGTAGTTGCATGTCCATTGGGTCATTCCTGCCAAAAACCCCGATATTCGAAGTCGAGGGGGGGGGGGGATACTATCAGAAACTTTTTTTACCCAGTAAGCGAATCGAGACCCAAAATTTAGGCTTCTGAGTTTTCGGGAATTACAAGTGATGATGATCTGTAGCTAGAGAACACTACGAGTAATCTTGACTTGTACCATGTTGTGTCAGACCTTCGAAACACTCATAGTAACTTTCAATGCAACCGTTGCACCAACGAAAAATCAATTTGCACGTTTTCCAACTAGGTCTAACGAATTGATTCTTTAACTCATTCCGCAACTCATTGTTTCCAAAATAAGTATGCATTCATCCTCTTGTAGCACGGCGCATTTGCCTTCGAAGAATTAAAAATCGGCACTTCCTTGATAGGTAGCTAGCTACATATGATATCCGTTCCGTTTCCCATGCCTTGATGGTCGAAACAGGAATGCGGTATCGTGAAGCAATGCGGTGAACACGATTCAACATGATATTAAATGATGCGGCCGGAGCTTGTCGTTCTTGTCTCTTATCTTTTCTATAAGATTGATCAACTTGATTCGAATTCTTCAAGTATAACTTTGGGGAGGACCACCGGGGGGTTGTGTTTGCTGCTGCTGCTGCTGCTGCTGCTGCTGCTGTTGCTGTTGCAGCTGCTGTGAGGACGTCGTAGTGTTTTCCTGGGCCAGTAAAGACATCAGTATGCTTAGGGTTTGTTGTTGTTGCTGCTGCTGCGACTGATACCCAGCGGATGCAATACTCCCGAGTGCAACTTGGACGCCTCCGTTTGAAGGCTGCTGTGGGGAGATTGCCGCCCCCGCTGCTGCCAATTGTGGGATCTCATGCTGGTTTGATGCCTGCTGGTTCTGGGCAGCACTTTGCTGTGCCGCAAGAATCGCGGTTGCCCCCATAATGAGAGCCTCTGTGATGTTGGTCTGGTTGTCTGCGGCGGAGGCACCTGTGATACTTCCAGCCCCGCTCGCGAACTGCGTTGCGGAATGGATTGCTGCTATGGCCCGGGTCACGTTGGCATCGATCTGTTGCTGCGGTAGCGATATGGATTGGGCTGTGGGCAGTGGTAGTGGCTGCTGCTGTTGCAGCTGCAGAAGCTGCTGTAACTGTGGGTCAAGAAAGACCTGCGCGGCCATTTGCTGTTGTTGTTGTTGAAGGAGATGCTGAAGTTGCCGCTGCTGCAGGAGGAGGTGGGCCTGCAGCTGCTGGGCTAAAACAGGTACCCCGGTGTTGAGCAGCGGCTGCTGCTCTGGCCCCATCACGCTAGGTGACGTTGCTCCGATGACTCTTGGATCCACCAGCTGTTGCTGCTGCTGTTGGTTCATTAACTGCTGGAGCAATTGTTGCTGCGGGGGTTGGGCGGCCCGGAGCTGCTGCAGCTGGGAGGTAATCAGCAGGGGCTGCCGATGCTGATTTTCCAGGGACGGCAGAATGCTCTGGCCAGTTCCATGCTCCGACGGATTTGATAAATCCGAGAGGATTAGGGAGATAATAGTGTTGGCATTGCCCGACTGATGGATTTCCTGGCCGATGGATCGGTGCAGGGAATCCGTGCTTATGGCGTCAGAATCCGACGATAGGCTCTCTCCGGGAGCTCCCAGCGGTTGGTTTGGTACTGCCTCTCCGGTTTGGAGCAACAGGGGCCCGTGGCCCTTGCGCTTGGACTCTCCAGAGCTCTCTCGGCCCTTCTCGCTCACGTTGCTGCTCCCGGCACCATCGGAGGACCCGATGTCGTCGGGGCTGGGAGTGGCCTCATTGGTTGGGGGAGAAGGGGGCCCCTTTCGCTTGGACTTTCCAGCGGCGTTGACACTGTCGCTGTTAGAGGACCCACTCTTGTTCATGCTCCGAGTTTCTGCGCGGCGACGCCCCCGTAGTGCGTGGCTGATCTTTTCGATGGCGACCTCCTCGGTCACCTCGACCCAGTACACGTCCATCCCGGAGTCTCTGGGCTCGGTGACCTTTTTCAGGAACCTGCCGGGTTCCCCCCCCGAGGATGGCGAGTCTACCCCGTCCCCGCCGTCGTCGCATGTGGCTTTCTTGGTGGTATTTTCGGGCATCTCAGTCGTATTTGAGGCGGCGACGCTCTCGATGCCATCATTGTTGGCGTTTCCGAGCTCGCCATTGCCGTCGTTGTTGCTGCTTTTGCTTCCTCCTCTTTTCTTTATTTTGCTGGTTATGATCTCGTCCATAACCTTTCGTGCAATCCTGGTCTTGTCTTCCTTTCGCGAGTTGAGGTAGGTCTCTCGGTTCCGGTTGACGATCTTGTGGAACCTTAGATTTCCGGGGTGTTTCTGAAGCGGCCTGCCACGACCAAAGAGCACGTCGTATGTACGTGGCTCGATTATCCTACCCTCCCCGTCCTCGTTGTTATTGCCAACCTTATTGTCCTTTGTACTATGTTTGTCGTTGTCGCTGTTTTGTCCTTGCTGTGAAGCCACTGGGGTAGACAACATGTGATTAGGGGCAGGCATACCAAGTCTTGCGTCACGACTTGTAACATTTTCATTTCTGTCAATGCCATCGGGCGGAGTGCTGTGCGTTTGTTGCAAATTGTCGCTATTGGAGTGCGGCGTGGAGGGCAGGTTCTGATTCTCATTAACACAAAGGATCTTTGACTCACCAGCTTGGTCGCCGCGTTTTTTTTCAGGGTCGGTGTCTTTGTCATACCTGTCTTCGTTGTTGTTGGAAGACATCTTCGCTGCGTCTCTGTTTTAATTTATTTCCCACTTAATTTCCCTGCAGTTCGATCGATACACGAGGGAAATTTTGCGTGCTGCGTTTGCTGCAATTGTAGGTCTCTTCCTTGCCTTCTACTTCCAGAGCGTCACAGCCCGCTACTTCAACGCTGCATGTACGCATACGTGAAGGTGGTAGTCATGAAGTCGCGTTAGGGAGTCCGAACAATTAATTTAATGTCCAGTCGTAAAGTTGGGATGAACTAGCGGTAGTCATGAAGTCGCGTAAAGGAGGCCAAACTTTTGTGAGAAGATAGATCGGATGATGTCACTTATAAAACACTTAAATAATTCGTACATGCGTTAGCAACTTACTTAATTGCAATAAGTAAAAAATGAAATGAGGTCATCGAGTACAGAACACAAAGAACTTAATTGAATCGATCGTCACTGATTTTCGATTAGATGATTGGACTATTTCTGTTTTCGTTTGATTTTAGTATCGAATCAAGAAGAACGCTTTTCTCTACAAACAAATTATTCTGTAGTCTACTTTAATGAAACAAATACTTTAAACTACCACACCTAAAGTAGGAACTCTCAGACTAAGAAGATCTTTCTTTTCTTGGCATGAACTAGCCCTTGTGCTACTCTAGATATGAGTTGCCTCACTCTATGCTCTGAAAGACGTGTTGTTGAAAGTTGATTGAGTGAGGAAGTTTTTCGAGACCAGTGCTAACCATACTGGAAGTAGGCGGCAAATTATTCCATACAGTAAGACTGCATAAGATTCCACCTTGTTGTAGAGGTACCATCTCGGTGGGTGATATTTGTAGCGTGAAGAAGTTAGCACTGTGCTAAAACCTCGTTTGATTTGGTTCGTTCCCATTGACAATGAACAGGCCCAAGTTTTCTTGCTGTTACTCATTCATCGTGTACTCGTCTATTTTCATTGCATTGTTTAATAAGGAATCCCAGATTGATTGAAAGACACCAATATATGACGTAATGAAAATCTGTAGATTAGGTTTCGTCTCTACAGTGATGTTTCGTTCTCCAATTTTTTTGCAGGATCGTGCAAAACACCTGACTACGGATCTAGGCGGTCTACTAGTGATGTATTGCCAAAAACATTTGCTTGTGTTCCACCGTTGCATACGCTGTTCCAATGCAAGGGAACAGAAACGACGCGGCACAAAACAACGAGAAGGATAACTGCTCAAAACTGCCCGAAACGAATGGTGTGTTTGGTGAAAATACTGCTCTGTGTTTTTCAAACAAATGTTAAAGTTTTGTTGTGCGTATTCGTTGATGCAATTGCAGTGACTGCGAAAACATTACGTATCGCTAAACCTAGTCTGGCATTTTAACTTTGTAGCCTGCAGCAATGCAAATGTCTTTTTCACTTGAATCATCATTACTACTGGGTTATGTACAAAATTTAGCCTTGTTTGTTATATTTGTGCAGGTTTGGCTAGGCCGCCATGCATACGTCATAAGCGCAATAGTACGCGTTGGACGGATCCTTTCACAATCATGAAGGTACAGTTTCCTTCTTCCGGATCTTCTTCCAGCTCCGACGAGGAGTCTTCGCTGTTCTCGCCGTCCGATGATGCCATCTTCTCGTCATTCTCGTTGTCGCTCTCGTTGTCGCTCTCGTTATCAAGGTTCGTTTCGTTTCCGCTCACGATCCCTTCCTCGATGTCACCATCGTTGTTGGCACCGGGTTGGGAAGCCTCGCCACCGGTTGACGGCGCGGTAGACTCATCGTTTTCGTTCTCTTCTGTTTTGTCGTCCATTTCRATGAAGCAAGCCCGGCAGGTGGGGCATTCGTTTTCTCGCTGCTCGAGTAACCACTGCAACAAGCACTCTTCGTGAAAGACGTGGGAACAAGAATGCTTGCCGGCGTTCCGAGACCACATCACCATGTCTCCCACCTCGAAGTTGTCCAGGCATATCGGGCACACGTCTTCGTCGTCTTCGAAATCATAGCAAAGGCTGCTTGATGGTGGTTGCTGTTGTGCCGGCGGTTCTTCTTGCGCCGCATGGATGCTGCTCGAAGCGACAGGAGAGTAATTGGTGCTATCTTCCGAGTCCTCGCTGTTGGAGGAAAGCAGAGGTCGTCGTTCAGCCGTTCCCGGTGATTCGGGGCATTTTTTACCGCTGTTTTGTTTCTTGGAAGGTGTCCCGGAAGACACAGTCGAAGGAATACTCGCTGCGTTGGTGGTCGGCAACTCGCTCGACGGTGCCTCGATTTCTTTCGACGCATCCGGAGCATCGAGGGAATTGCTTGTGCTTTCCGCATCGGCCATGGTGGTGGTCGACTCGTCTTCGTTGTGTTCTTCGCTCGCCTCCTCTGGTTCCTCTGTTTCTTCCGGGGACAGGATGCAATGCCCGGTTTCGGGGCATTTCGAAACAACCCTCATCGTCCGAAGCCCCTCTCGGATCTGGTGCTTCCTAGTGTCCACGGGAATGGCAACGCGTTCGGCCTTGGCCGCCTGGATTGCCCAGACGCGTTCCGCTTGCCGCCGGAACATCGCGCCGCGATGGTATTCGCTGGACGGGACGTTCCTTCGCTGGACCAGGCTGCATGCGATCAACAGAAATACGGGGCAGAGAAAGGTCCACACCATGTCGCTCAGGCTATAGTCGTATTCGGGGATGTTGCCCCCATTTGTGCTGTTGCTTCCCATGAGCAAGCTGGTAGTATTGTTTATGTTGCTGTTGAAACCTTGGTAGTCATAACCGGCACTCGTGCCGTTCTCAGGTGTCTTGGGATCGAACACGTCGTAAGAGTCATCGCTGTAATTCAAATCGACATCATTTGCGCTGCCGTATCCTATGGATTGAGGGGCGATGGGGTCCGCAGGTTCGCTTTCCGTTGGTGGCAGTTTTGTTTCTTCGACGTGGTGTGCGACCTTGACTTCCACCACCACTTCTTCCTCGCGTTCGGCTTCGATTTTGCGGTTGGCRGTCTTTCGTTCCACTCCACGCATCATGGTCACTTCGAATATACAACGCCGTTGGAATAGAAATTATTTGTTACAGGTTGTTTGTTTTAGTCGTACTCGAACCAACTGATGTTGGATTTGTTCTGGAGCAATAGGTGCGTGGCTTCACGACTAATATTAATGTCTCAACGCTATCGGCTGCAGCTGCCAATCGGTTGTGCTGTTCCGGAAGAAGAGATTCTATCGTATCGTACGGATTGCGCAAGAATTCACTTGTCTCGATTTCGGACCGAAGAAGGTGCGGATGGAATGTGTGTACCGGTATCGCGTTGAAGTCGTGTTCCGCGTTTCCATAATGACTGCGTTGAATGGCGTACTAAGCATCGAAATCTTCGCGCAACACGAACGGAACGTTGAGGGCAGAATATTCAAGGGTGCGTCGACAATTTGTGTCAACTTACGGGTGAAATACGGGTTAAAAATCTGGCATGGAACACTAAGCCCGCAAATTTCAACGACGGTCACATAGGCAAGAAGAATCATTAAAAATAAAGGTCGCCGAAATAAATATTTTGTGGCTTCATGTCCCGGATGCGAAAACGAATCAACCCAAACTCTATATGAGATTTCTCACTGGTTTAAATCGAAGTTGCGGATGCTGTTCGCATCAGGGGTCATTATGACCCATGCTTCGCATTCCCTTTCACCCATGATTAGTCTGATGAGTCGGTACGAGTAGCCAATCGATTCTGATTCTTTTTCGTCCTAAGTCCTAAAGTACTGTACGTAACATATGTATATAATGTACAGGACGTATGGTAGGATTCCTTGACGGATCGCAAGAGAATCAATCCCGAACCGCACACAACAACTTAAAAACCAATGGTTCACACGGTGCTACTATTGATCCAATGGGTTATGAGTTTATAAGATGATGGTGGAAAACCTGCCATTTATTTTTGAGTCTCAATCCAATACTCCAAAAATTGGTTCTTGCCAAGATTTTTCCGTAAAAAATGAAGGGACGAGTGCGATTACGAGTAAGAGTGCGACTACCTACCTACCTGTCTCTATCATCCTCCCGATGTATTTCCATCTCAGCGAAATGCTGACAACATATCTCAAAGGTGGAAGCTGTATTCTACAAAAGCGAGGAATCAAAATAAAGTGCGAGCGATTCAAGTATGGGGGAATCATCGTCAACTCCTTTAACGCCGAGGAGGAAGACAAGGAAAAATCAGGAAGCGGCTACTACTTCTTCAGAGACTGTGGCAACTGCGTCTGCCATCGGTTCCAGCACTAAAAAGAAGCGGGGCCGCAGGAGCACGACACCGAAGAAAGAAAAGGGGACGGAGACGACCCAACCCAGAACCCCCCCTACCATCGAAAGCAGTGCCACCAAGAAGAAACGAAAACGAAAAATAACGTCGCCGGAGCCAGCGCCAATACCAACACCAACACCAACACGAACCAATGCCGTGGCAAAGAAAGAGATCAACCGAAATGCGGGACCCACGATCGTTGAAAAGGATGCCGTGGCTCCCACGTCCACGACCTCCAAAACCACCAACAAGGAATATCCAGCTACAATGGATGCCCGGGTTCATCGATTGCGTCACATGGGATACATTCCCGGGAGCGTATCCGCCCTGACACCAAGATCTACCAACTGCGGACAGATCGTCGTCGCCCGAACCGACGGCAGCTACGAGCTCAAATCGGTCACGTCTCCACCCAAGGGGATCGCCAGTAGCAACAGACACTACGCGGACAACATCAGGGTTCCGATGCATCGATTGGTAACGATTGCGGAGACGCCTCCCGCGACGGGCCGGAAGCCTTCCAACGACGAAGACAGTTCCGTGGACTCCGAGATGGACGCGGAGGACGACGAATCATCTTTGCTTCTCTGTCCCGATGCCGCCTCTTCCCTGTGCTGGGTGTACCCGTCTGCTCTGTCGTCTCCGGTCTGTGTTGGATCGGGACCCAACGGCAACCTGTGGATCGTAGATTTTAAAACATCGAGACCGATCGACGTCGTTTCGAGCGGTGGCGGGGGGATTTTCGATCTCGCGGTCCTGAGCTGCGGAGACGGTGGCGGCAGCGACGACAACGGTGCGGGGTTTCCGTTTGTAGCCGCCGCCTGTGAAGACGGATCGGTCCGGATATGGAGGGTGGGTTCCGGCGATGGCAGCAGCCGCGGGCAGATTCTCCAGGACACACCGTTTGCCACTCTTCCTTCCGTAGGGGCACCGATTTTGTCGTTGGTGTGGAGGCACGTCGCCACGAGGAGCAAAGGAAAGAACCGAGCCACGATTCAAACCGTGGTCTTTGCTGCCACCGCTGATGGCACCATCCGGAAATACGGGCTCGAGATTGATCGGCAACAACAAATCATAGATTCTTCCGAGCCGAGTGACTCTTACTCGATACCCAATCCCCCCAAATCGATCTTGCGCATGACGGTCGAAAGCAAAGGACGAAAGGACTCTACCAAGGTTTGGACGCTTTTGCTGCTACGGGACAACACTGTCGTGGCGGGAAATTCTCTGGGACAGGTCCAATTCTGGAATGGCGAAACAGGGACGCTGACCCAAACCATTGTGCAATCGAATTCGCGGGCCGACGTCCTCAAGCTGGTCGTTGATTCCGACGAAACSAAGATATTTTGTTCCGGTGTCGATTCCAGGGTGGTGTGCTTGGAACGAAAGAAGCCCCCGATTAAGGCAATCGCAGCCCAGCAGCAGTCGAATGCCACTGGTAGCAGCAAGGATCTAACGGCATTAGTAGCATCCCACCTCACGTCCTATCGACCATGGAGAATGACGGTCAGCCAGCGACCGCACACCCACGATGTCAAAGCGATGGCTATTGTCGCTTCGGCGTCGGCGTCTGGTGCCAGACCTACCGAAACGCTGTTGACCGCAGGAGTGGACACGAAGATTTGTTCGTACTCGGTTTCGAACTTTTCCCAGAGCCAGCCACAAACGTGGTATCCCTGGCCGAGTGCAACCTCGCTGTTCTCTTCCTCCATCTCCACGGCCAAGGGCGGTCCAAGGTTGGTGGCAATGCAGCGGTACAACGGTATTGAGTTGTACGAGCTCGAGGCCTTGAAGTCCCGCAAAAACAATCATATTATGCTTTCGGCTCACGAATCCCACAAAACAGTAATTGCGCAACACCCAACGAGTATCCCGCTTGGGACCATCAAATTGGATGGAGGCGAGGGAGAAGAAGAGCAAGACTCGTCGAGTGTCCCGACGCCTTCCTCGCCGTTGCGGGCATCGTTATTGAGTCCGGACGGTCAATACTTGGCGGTTTCGAACATGTCGTCAACCTATGTATTCTACATCGATTACATCGCAAGTGCGGAAAGTCCTCGGCGAATTCGACCAAGAATGATAGAGCTTCCAGAGGAAATTCGAAACGTGTCGGCCACAACATTTCTATTTGTCGGTGCGACTCTCTACGTTGGAGATTCTTCCAGAGACCAAAAGGTGTATGTGGCCCGGTTGCGTCCTGGCAAAACCAAAGGCGAGGACGAAGATCAGATGGGCATCGACGTTGATGATAGCAAAAAGAAAAGCTTACAGGAAACCATCATCCTACCTACATCTTGTCAAACTAGCTCCGGACAAATCGCATTGCCGATCCAATCCATTCATGCTAACGACGAGTTTCTGGTTACCCTTAGTCATGCACAAGAGAATGCCATTCACATCTTTCGACGAAAAACCAAAAACAGACCCTTTGAACATTTTTGGACTCTGCCAAGCCTGGGCGGCGGAACCGATGCCCGACCAGCTGCTGTGACACTGTTGGATGGCAATAAGCTCGCTGTTGCGACGTATCGGTCGCATTTGTATCTGTTCGACATTGAAACCAAAAGTCTAAATGAATGGAGCGAAAAGTATGGATTCCCACTCAAAGATAGCAAATGGACGGAAGATGCTCTTTGCGACCGAGGCTATCCTGTCCGATTGATTCCACGCCAAAATGGACGCCTCGTCTTGGTACGTAAATCCTGCACCTCAAAAGTGTTTTTGGAGCGCACGATGTTATTCCCCATTCAAGCGAGCAATGCTCTTGATCTTTTTTGGGGGTTGTCAATCTTGCTAGATAGAATTTTGGTCTCGTTTCGCCCACTCCAGGCCCTGTTCAGCTGGTTCGTGGTATAGTAGTAGTCCACAATTTTTCGTTATTACTCACGCAGTTCATAAACTATTTTCACTCTAATGAACAGGTGTCATTCGGCACTTTTTGTGTCATTGATCTCACGAAACCAATGCCACAGCGCTGTCGAACAGTCCCTAAGAGACCTGTGTGGAGAACTCGAAAGAAATACAAGGCCGTTGTTCATGATGACGGCGAAGACCACGATAATGTAGAAGATAACGACGATCATTGGCTTGATTCCAGAGTGACCAAAGTTGTCGAAGATGAATATTCCCACAATGATCTTGATGCAGAAGACGACGACGCAACGGAAGCCAAAAACTCTCAAGCATCTGCCTCAAGGTCGTCCGACACGAAGTCTATCAAGGTACCAAACGAAATTCATGACGAAGAACTTGCTGCTAGAAGCTGCACGATCTGTTCGCACTACAAGAATATTCTTTACGCAAATTTCCTTGGTGCGAAAGAAATGATTGTAGTTGAACAGCCGTGGTTAGACATAGTGGAAACGTTCCCAGCAGCTTTGCAGCGTAAAATTTATGGTGCTGACTAGGACGCCAACGGTACGTTTTCGAATCGAATCTTCAACCCGCAAGATTGCAGCGATGCTTGGACTTTTTCATGTCCTCGAACATCTCCTTTTTTAACTCTTGCAATATTATACTAGTATGTATATACTTTTGTCTCAAGTTTGAACTGATTGAGTCGTTTTCAAGTCGCTTGACTGGTATAGATTGAGGTAACATTTTCTTTTTTTATTCGAAATGGGCTAATGGAGTTGCTTTCTTCTTCGTGTTCTTCCAATACGGATATTCCAGATGCTTTCAACATCTGCTGAGTACCGTTCTCTCATATTATCAACAAAACGAGCTGCGGCGTTCCTTAGAGCAATGTTAACCTGGTAATAGTTTCTTTCGTTATCTTACTATTGAAAAATGAACTATCGAGTCTTAATGCATGCACATTTACACAATTCTCGATTCATTTGTTATTTCCTGAACTCTTCTATCTGTCCAGTCTTATCGACTTTTTGCCCCGGGAAACTCAAGCTTTGTTTTTTTGTCCTGGATGATTGGGTATGCTCACCCTACTCCTTCTCGAAAACAAACTCTTCCCCGATTTCTTGTCATGTGGACCAGAGTCCATCGGGGCTGACCCTATATCGTTCAATACTATCACATGACAGTCGTCTCCTCCTGTCTTCGTTGCGTTTTCTAAACTTGTTTTCTGCAATTTGACTTCACTAAAGTCGGTTGGAGAGGCAGAGGTATTTATTGTTGAAGCTGCAACTTCGTTGCCCTGGCTATGTGCCATACTATTGAGCCAAGATTGCTCTGTTGTTGTCGTTGTTCCCTTTGATATCGAATTCTGAGGCAAAGGAGAAGTAGACGACAAAGAAGTTATCTTTTCGTCGAAGACAACACTTTTCTGAGAATCCCCAGGTACCAATGGGTCTGTTGAAATCCGTGAGAACGGCCTCGAGAGCTCCAGTCCTCTCAATAACTTTCCGGCTCGTGATACATCATCATCATGAACTATCTCGTCCATGCTAATGCTTTCGCAGCGATTTCGTTTCCGTCGAAAAACGTTCGGATCTGAATCATCTGCTACGTGTGGAGAAACCTCTACGACGGCAGTTTTTCTCATGGTATCTCGATTCCGCGATGAAAATGGAAGCATTATGCCGTCCCGTATACTATTGGAAGATCGCAGTGATGTTCTGGAAAGAGTTGTCATCGCAGTCGCTGACGTATGAGTTGTAACGTCGCCCTGATGTGCCTTGAGCAACGATAGAAAGGAGAAATTGCTTTTCTTTTCCGTTCTTGCTGGGGTCACTGGAGATGTGAAAGGGGTTAAACTTGGTGGCGCTAGCTTTGATGCCCTTGCCGGAGACAGGTCACACTGCTGCAAATCGGTAAGCATACCTCTCATAAAATGAGTTGGATTTGTGCGAACTGGTGATGAAGTTGATGACGTTGATGATGTTGACGGCTGACCCCTTCCCAATGTAGGTTGACCCGCTTGTCGCAGGTCGACAAGCATTCCTCTAATAAAATGCGTTTGGTTGCGCGGTATCTCTGAGAAGTCGGCGGGGGATTCAGTAGGCATTCTGCGTACACGAGGAACTCGATTTGCACCAGAATCAACTGGTGGAAATGATCCGTGGTCAATGAAACGCATGTCTTTTGGAATGGAATGCGTTCTTCGGTGCATTATGTTTTTGTCAATTTGTATTGTTCCCTGCTGATTGTTAGACTCGACCTTACCATCGTTGCTATCGATAGTGATGCGGTCAAAAGAGCTCTGTATTGATTTCATTCTTCTCTAGAAAAATCGATAGCTATTGAGTTGGGATTTTTATTGTCTATTCAGTTTCGGTATGTGAATGCTGATACTGCATTGGCTCCTAAGAAAAAATACGTCTTGCTTCCTCACTCGCACATATGAATCCTTCCCTGTCAATGATTGATAGTAGTCGTACCATATCGGCCGGTACTATCTTCAATTTACTTACTTCCATGGCGATTCTTTTTTATCTTACAAGAAACGATATGGTATCTTCACGTCGGGAACAGACGATCGAGATGAAAAATGGACCAAAATTTTTATTTATGCTTATTTTAGCATAATTGTTGAAGTGTGTTTATAATATTTGTTACGCGCATGTTAATTGTACATATCTCGACAGAAAATTCCTTTCCGACATGCGCACTAAAGGACTCAAAGAATCTTCCTTTATTCTTAGCAACCTAACGTAAATTTACAAAGCCAGGATGTAAAATATATTGAAAATAGGACTGCAAAAATTAGTAATAATAAAATTCATGACACAGTCTTCCTCTTTAACGACGGCAGAACAAGATTTTGGAAGTACCAGTACCCGGGTATAGTAATGCAGTGTAATCCGTTGAATTTTGAATGTTGTATGAAGTAGCCTTTTTAACTCGAATTCTTTCTGCTCTGCTTGTGCGTGCTCAACTTGTCGAGGCAAGCCACCACAGTAGAGCTACTAAGTACGGGCCCCATAATGGCAAGTTATTGGCAATCCCCGTACAAATACTAATAGAAATTTTTAGCTCATTTTTACAGTTAAAACCAGTTAAAAAAGGCATCCAATGGACGAAAATAAAAATATTTCCATTGTTTAATTTCTCGCTAGTCCCAAAATATTTCTATTGGTGGTCCTTAATATTCGAGATAAGCACTGATTTGATATTCCCACTAGTAAGGAGCAATAATAGAAATATTTGCGGACTTCATAGTTTTTTGTGTGGATGGGGGGAGAGGGGAAATAGAGACGGGAAAATGAGAAAAAATTGACGTACGGAAATTGCCAATAACTTGCCGTTATGGGGCCCGTACTTAGTAGCTCTACACCACAGGAAGAACAATTTCTCATGATCACGACATTCTTCTCGTTGCTGTACCAATGATGATCTCTTCCACCTACCTGCTAGTAATAGAAGTACGTACTGCTCCTACTACCACTGTGATAGTACTACTAGTACGAGTACGAGCTCGACTTCGAGCACTACGAGTAAGAGTACCGTACGTAATCGTCCCCGAAACTAATGAAACAGAAAACCTGTTGATACTTGGCAAGTACACAAAGAAATATCAACTAAAAATGCAACCATGTAGGACACAGTACATATTCTATGTAGGTCTTATAGACAGTGCGCGACAAGACTGGAGTGCTGCAGTATCAGCGTGTTTGATGAGAAGTACTCACACTATCACGCACAAGGCAAATTATATAGAAAAAAACCAAGTCGGGAGAGTAATTCTCGACAATCACGTCGATAACGACAACACCGATACCAACACTCCTGTCAGCTAACAAGATGGTCCTCTTAGTGAGGATAGCAAAATACAGTACTACAGTTCACATATACACAGTACACTATATTTTTATGATTTTTCGATGTAAGAGGGGGGACAAGTAGTAAGGAAAGAAGACACTTCGACACGCAAGAACAAGAAATAACAACGTCAACGCTACTAATTGGTGGGGTCCTCGGGCCCTCTAAGCAAGTAGTGGCCTCCATTAGCTTCATGGGGAGCCATAGCTCTAAGGATTGAAGAAACACGCTTCCCAGGGCCTCCATAGACAGAATAAATCCTACGGATTGCTGAATCAGAAGAAGAACCAGCCCGAATGAGCCTTTCAACACAGTTCCAGAACTTCTTCCTCCTGCAGTACTTGCTCTTCACTCTGCCGCGCTCAGCAGCAGTAAAGTCCTTTGCAGGCTTATTGAGACCAACGCCCACTTCCCATTCATTCCAAAGAACAAAGAGATCTCTAGGGCACTTTGTGAGTTCTGCTGCACCCTCATCAGTTCCAGCTGACGCTGCTGTGCCTGCTGCTGTCCTTGCAGCAGGGCGTCGACGAACAACGGGGGCCATTGCAGCTCTTTGAGACAACGCGATTGCTTGATTAAGCTTCCTGTTGAACTTTGCTTCAACAGCTATTTGCCTGTTCTTAATATCATTAATTTGATTGGCAGTAGAGAAGAGCTTTGAAAACATTGCAGCATTCCATTGCAACTGAGTCCTCCTAATACCAACGCCACGATGGCTGCCTCCACCGACGTCTCCTCCATCAGGATCAGTTAACTCATCAAAGTGAACTTGGCCTCCTATTTCATTAGCAATCATCTCTACTCTTTCAATGGGCTTTATATTATCATCATCCATGCTTCTATTATCTCCTCTATGCTGGAAGCTGAGCTGTACATAAGAAGCAACGACATCTCGCTTTATATCATCCGGCAACAAGCCAGATGCTTCCATTGCTGGCTCAAAGCAAGCCCAGAGCAAAGCCTTGCCAAGAATTGCTGCAACTCGATCACCAAAGACATTTGCTGTTGCTGGTGTTACTGCAGAGATAATCCACTGGTCTGTTACCCCAGTTCCCTCGACTGCTTTGTAGTAACAGACGCCTCCAAAGCAAAGCCTCGATGCAACATGAATATCAGGCCAAGCCAGCTGGGTGTCAGTGTATCTATCTTGCTGGCGCCTAGATTTCCATCTTGCTCTGTAATCGACTTCATCCCTTGTACAAGCACACTGTCTTGCATACGTTGTTGCAAACTTCCTAATGGAATGGGTTCCCAGCTTCCCTTCTGAAGCTGGTCTTTCAGCAACAAAGACCTCATTATTAAAGGAATAGCGCTTCATAAAATTAGAATAGCCATTCTTCCCCTTGTTAACTTCTTTGTCCATATCAGCAACAGTTGATCTCATATCAGTAACACCTTCAGTGAACAACCACCGACTAGACGATCCAGCGCCTGAGCGACACCATTTCTCCAGGAATAAAGCAAGAGCAAGCACCACACAAGATCTGTGGTCCATGGATCCAAGCAAAATCTGTCTTGGGCAATCGCGTTCCTCTCTAACATTCTTTGACCAGATCATCTTAGCTGTGAGGAACCTTGGGAATTCAGTGGATACTTCCAAGCTGCTTTTAGCTACATGTGCTGTATCGTCGTTTCGGCCAATCAGATGGTACTGGAATTTAATCATAGCTAGATATCTTAATCGATTGATTAGGGTCCCATTGCGTCCCATTAAATCGATCGTCTGCAAGAACTCATTCTTTGTTAGGGGCCTGTCCATACTGCTCTCCATTCCAAGTCCTCTTGTTTCCTTCTTGATAACAGCCGCGATTAGATCATTAACTTCCTGCRACTTCGTAGGATTGCCACTTGCAACGCCACCAACAACAGTCCACTTATGTAGCTTGTTAGGCATGAAATAGGAGATGGCCTTCTTGTAGTAGACCAGTGAAGAAGATCTTCCCTCAGTAGGATTATCGTCGACGTCTGGATCGTCGCGTCCATAGACTTTCTTTGCAAAGAACTTGTAGATATCCCTGGGCTTTAGATGGCTCAGCTCCTCGTGTGTAAAGAGCTTATCACTGGGGTATCGATGGTCTCCATTCGGTCCCCCATGATCCAATCTTCCTGTAAAGTGATCCATCAGTTCAAGAAGGACAGAATGGTATCTCTTCCATTGCCCTGGCTTGTTCACGTCGCGTGGAGGCGTCACGGATCCGCCGCGTCGCTTCCTTGCCTTTGCACGCTGCTGGCGTGCTGCTGTTGTTGCTGCTACCATAGGTTTCTTGCTGCTAGTAGGCTTGTTAGTATATTGCTTGCTTTGGTGATTGGATTAGCAGTACTGTTTCTTTTGCTAGTTATTCTTTGCTTTATGTTGTGAGCTTGTCAGCGTGTTTTTTGCTATACTTTAGTGCTATACTTTAGTTGCCGGGAATGATAGCGTGATAGCGTGATGTGGGCGAGTCGGGGACCATGTTGATGTGGGAGTTGCAAAAATGGTTGCACTCAACGCATATTTTCACTATTTTGGCAACTGTATTTGGCACGCAAGCCGTCCCTGGAGAGGTGCCAATACGGCTGCATAGTAGAAATCACTACTACAAAATACGTAGAAAAATGAATACGCGTGCATTTAGAGTGGAGCGAGTATGCGTACTGCCTTATAGGGGRTTTGTGTACAATTTACTACCAGGATCCTGTAGGGAAAAAAGGAGACATGGGTTGCAAAACGTGGGTACTTGTCATGTATATCAAAAGTAACGCTGCGGTTAAAAAGTTTAACTACAACATGTGTTTATTATTATGCAAGGTGTGGAGCGCGCCAAGAAACTGCCTGCAGTTGTTAATCGTAATAACTGATATTTTTTCAAAATCATTTACTTAAACCGTTGACACGCGTTCTTTTTATCTTTTCGGATGCGGTACCCCCCCATCTCAACTTACGTACTGGTACAATAGGAAAACCGAGCGAAGTTTAGCGATGATCAAGTTTTTACAGTACTACTGTAATGTATTCCTACGAGTACCCGCATCATCTGCACGCCTACCTTTTTCGGAAGTGCGACTGCAAATCAAAACATGCAGTAAATTTCGACAGCGTTTGAAAAATGCGAAAAACTACGAACACGAGTAACGTACGTACCCGTGTTGTTAATTATGTAGGCACATGCCATCTGAAGTTTGAATTCGATTAAAAATCAGTGTTTGCTCGACGAGGAACTTTTCTCTGATCACCTTTGTACATTAGAGAAACCTCAAATGGTAAACAGAGACACACTTACAATGGCAAGCAAGAAACACATCTCACGAGGAAAGAAAGGCAAGGATAGTAAATATCACAGACACCAACACCAAAAAGATCGAACAGGAAAAAGCAAAGAACAGGAAAGCCACAATGGCGAAGACGACAATCTCGGACTAGTTGTTTCGAACAGCCAACAAGGAACAAAGTTCTCAATTTGGCTGTTTTTTATGAGCTCGTTGGTAGCCATCGGTGCTGTTTGCTATCGAGTCTACGTCGTAAAATACTCCTCCGTACATGTGTTTGCTTTCAGATCAACGAGTGAATCAAAGACGTCTCTCTCGGAACTATTTGATATTGCTTGTGAGCGATCCCATAAAGCCACAGATAATGTCTTCGCGTACTGCAATCGCCAATTCCTTGACATCAAGGACGAGACCCGGACCATCGTAGCAGCGAAACGATTCCGGACCGGGCAGAAACTCCTACAAATCCCGAGGAGCATGCAGATCACCACGATCGACGCCCTCCGCCATCCGAAGGTTCGAGAACTATTGATGACAAATCCACGCCATCCAATAACCGGCAAACCCCTTCATCCGAAGGCCTACCTTGCAGTGCACATGGCTCTGGAATTCTCAAGGCTCTCTGGTGATGAAATCAAAAGCATGAACGATGATAGTACCACATTTCGGTTAAATCAAGTTCGGCGGGCCTATCTGGACTATCTTCCGAAACATCAGGACTTTGCTAAGTTTCATCCATTGGTATGGAACAACAAATACATGGCAGCCGAGAGAATCGATGATGGTCCTGCATCTTCCCTTACCGACCACTTAGTTCGCACATGGCGATGGTCGATGGAGTCAGAATACCGCGCCTTGTGTCGAGCCTCGCTACCCGGTGAGGATAGCTTTGGAGCCCTTGTGTCGATGGAAGATTGGGTCGCAGCGCGCCTCGTTGTCAACACGAGGAGCTTTGACAGTGATCCGGACATTAGTGACAAAGAACTGGAGGCATATCGTCCCTTTTTTTACGAAGAAACAATTCATGGAAACAACGATGGGGAAGACGAAGAGGACTCCTTTTTCGCCAGCTGCCGAAATACGCTTATGCGGAGCTGTATGGTACCACTGCTGGATGCTCTGGATCACCACAAGGAACCTAATGTTCAATGGAATTTTTTGGAGAATGATTCAGACGCTTCCATAGCCCAAACAAAGCAGTCCTTTGTGGCATATGCCGCGAGAGACGTGGATCTCGGGGCCCAGCTCCTGGATTCTTACGGCTCTCAATTTCCCGATCCGACTCTTTTTGCGCAATATGGTTTTGTGAATTCTGATAGGTCCGGTAGCAGGGCCGCACTCCTAGCAGCCTATCATCGAATTCTCGACACTGACTTCGAAGACACGACAGTGACTGACATGATTCGTGAGGACCTGCAACAATACCTAGCATTTCAAGACGGCTACCAAACGTGCTATAATGGCGATGCTTCTAGAGTTACAAGGGGTGAACAAGAAAACGAAAAGGCAAGATTGAGATTCCAAGAGGTCAAGTTCAAGGCCTTGTCCGCAAAATCCAACCTTTTGAGCTCCTGGAGCATCTCGCTTCCCCCTCGACGAGATGGTCGTCTACGACTCGAAGAAGATGATGGATCTATCTACAAAGGGATCCAAAACGCTGTGTTTACTTGCCGATTGCTGGCCATGACGCATCGCGATTTCGGAGGCAAGGCGACAGAGATGCTAGAGACGATTGCAAGCGCAGATCATCCAGAACACTACCACATCAACGTTTCGACCGATGAAGCCACCCGTAACGGACTCGAATTTCGAACTTGGCATGTAATGACCCGTCTAGCTGAAGCGATGCGATCAAGGATACTCTTGTCCCTGGTAAAACTGGACACTCGAAATGAATCGAAATACAACACCGATTCCATTGGGAGTGACATGGACTGGGAGATCGAGGTAGAAATATCTCGGAGATTAGAATCGGGTGCCATTGGCGACACGGGTAGTCCAGAGTGGGCCAGGACTTTTGTGCTTTTGGGAGAACTGGAGGCCCTCTCGATTCTTCGCGAGCACTCGGGACATATGAAAACGATGTTTCTGGCCGAAAAACAAAAATGGAGTAAGAKGGTGAAGACTACGACAATTTCCAACGAGCAACTGAACGAAGAGGATTTCTTCGTGCGTCAGCATCCTTGCAAATAGAATCAAAAGAGATTGACTAACTGTTGCCTCGGTCAATAGCAGACAAAGTGTAAATTATTTTTAGTGAGTAAGAATTTGTATAATTGTTACCTATGTATCAAATTTCAGATGAAATGATTATGCCTTGATCTTGAGACGATCGACATCCGAGGATCTATAAAATAGGAGAAACTGGTATAAGTTCTAATTGCGTGCTGAAATAGTCCAGTCTTGTCGATTAAAAAAGTCGGTTTTGTGAATTTTGAAAGCCTTGTGACATACCATTTCTTCTCGGAGCATTGATTGATGGAGTCGCTAGCTCGCAAGTCGCGTCTATAAGGCTGCTTCTGTCGGAGCATCTACTTAATTCGTCTAACGCTGCGGGAATTGATAACCTGTCGTCTTCGTTAGGATCTTCGTCTATTGTGTCATGAGATGGACTCCTCAAAGAATATCTCGTTGAAAGGCTACTGGCACGTGAGTCGAGAAAAGATCTGCCAGACCGAGAAAATGGTGAGTTAGGTGGTGTTGCCAGTGATGTCCTTTCTGTCCTTGAAGATGTTGTGTCGCCGTTATAGGTGGTGGTTAAAGACAACGAGTCGGCGAGATGTGAATACAGACGGTTCTTTGATTTATCCTTGCTCCAAGCCAAGGATAAAGTCGGAACATCCTGTTCATCGACAAATTCAGATGCTTTCATAAGGTTCTTCTTATACTGCCCAAATGCCTGAAGATAGAACGTTACCATCAAAATGAGAAAGGATCCAAGCGTGATGATGACATTCCCGGGCAAGGCAGCCTGTATTCGATTACACTGGGCTGCAGTTGGCTCAACGATGCCCATCGAGGTTAATAGGTCGAATATTCCCGTCATTATCAAACAATAGAGATGGATTGAATACGAAATAATCGATCCAAGCTGCCAAACACCAATACAAACTGATATGAAATATATTTCCATGTGTTGCCATTTATATAGACGGAAATAAGATGGCAAACCACATCCTTCATGCCCATAAGAGGGTACTTGCTCCGGATTATTCGTTCTCTTCCGCCGCTGCTTTATTTTCTTTCGAATGAAGTGAAATGCTTTGATTAAAAATGTGGATGAAATTGATATACCCGCAGCAAATAATACGAGGCCTAAACCAATGTAATCAGCCTTAGTTTTCATCACAAATCTGGCCTTGAGAAGAATGCCACTGATGACCAAAAATACCCCGTATTCTGAGACGGCCTCGTTGTATGTATAGTCGGATTCCAAAGCTATTCCTCCAAAGGAGGTTACATCGAAGGCGATTGCTGGAACGAAGATACACCCTACAATGAATACAAGTAAAATTGTGACCCCACCGAGGATCGCTCCGAGCTGGCCCCACCGATACATTCCCCAAGACTTTGGTTTGATATCTGATGCATTGCATGGTATTTTTGACAAAAACTTCCAAGTTGATTTCGAGGCAGCTTGTGATTCGTCGCTCATATCTCTATCTGCGATCTCGATTAGTGGACCATCAGAGCTAAGAGGATCATTTCCAGTCGATTCTTGTTCTGTAACAATTTGTGATAGACTCACATTGCCTTCAATATCCTGACGAATACTAACTGCTTTGTTTACAGCTTTTTCGTGGTATTCAAGAAGAAACTGAGAACTTACCCGCGACATCCTTTGAGCGACAATCATACAATAGCACCCAGCTTTTGGGAGAACAATCGCTTTTAACGCATAGTACACGTCGTCTCCATTGTTAGGCGTATCTCTTCCACCGATGAATACAAGAAAGATTGCGAACCCAATAATCAAAGTGAAGATGTCAATGACACTTAGTCTCGCCAGCGCATCTAACCACAAAAGCACAGTGCCTCTTCGTTTGACACCGAGGTACTTTGGTGGAACCATCCAAATCACCAAAGATAAGAAAAGCTTAATGTAGGGCCAGATGCCAGCGAATGCCCATATCAAAACGATCATTTCAGCACCGCCGTTTTTATACGTGTTCCATGTAGAACTCAAAAATCTGAATTCGAGAAAATTTTGTATTGTGAAAGATTGACCGGCAAGCGTGACATCAAGATTTACGACGGAAAGAATTCCGAAGTGTCCTCCAAGATATAATCCGACATTCAACATGATCAAAATTGGGACGCTCCATCGAACAGATTTGGGAATGGAGGTACTTCTGAACAGCGAAGAAGTGTTTGCATCTAACCAGTCTTCTATAGCACGTTCTTTCTCTTGTTGACAATCTAAGAAAAAACGACCTTCGTTCGACAATGATTGCGTCCATTTCTTATTCCTACGGGCAAGTAATAACTTCCCGTAAAGCCCAAAAATGATTAAACAACTTGCAACGACAGAGTTGGCAATACTGAAGTACATCGGATTCTGTTTTTCTTCCGAGCGAACGAAGCCGAATGCAGCGTCCGTAAATAAAGCAGAATCAGATTTATTGATTGATTCGTAACTTGGATCGAACTCAGGTCGGTGTGGACAACGCTTCTTGGACTCAGCAACAATATCGTTCAAAAATGTTTGTAAAAATCCAGACTCCATTAGGCTGCTGGTCTGCTCCCGGACCGCAGCTGTTATATCTTGCGGTTCGTAGAGAGATAAGAGTAGTTTATCGAAGTCGGGGCTTGTGCAAGATTTGCAAGAAATTTCTATATCAAACTCACCAGTAGAATAGCTCTGGTCGAATAATTGAAGTCCCTGAAATGATTCTCCTTCCCCAGATGTTGGCAAAATAGTCGAAGCCCAACAAAAGCTATCCGTCAAGTCTTCCAGTGGAAAGGCAGAAATAGAATTTTCTAGAACTCGGAGTAGGATTGAGGTCTGGACAGTTACATCTTCTATCAAAAATGAAACAAATATTTCATTGTGAATCTTCATTTCGGCACCATCGTCTAATGAAATTGAGACCGTACCCTGAAAACGCAGTGGTTTCTCGTCGACTCCAAACGAAAGTTTGTTATCTAAAACATTTGCATAGCCACTTACTGGCCGGAAGAAATAAAGTGGATCACCGACACTATCGAGATTTTCCAAGACGACATCCGATATTTTTATTTTGAAATCTGCTTGAAGTCCCGCAATTTGTACCACAGATTCTGTGTCGAGGGCTGTGCCCGCTATCTCGACCATGCCTGTGGTGTTGGACTGTTGCTTAGTGAGCTTTTTAAGCCAATCATTGATGACGGGTCTATTTGATGCCCCGGTCTGCATGACTTCTTTGTCCAATACATCATATGCAATTTGGAATACATTGCCGTAACGTGAAATATTGCTCCCGCCGAGTTGCTGTGACTCACTGGCTGACAAGAACAAATCGCGGAAGTCGATGAGACCATCGATAGGATATTCTGGAGGAGGTAAGCATTTGCTTGCTGTCGATTCCAAAATGCTAGGAATTAAAGCGTTAACAATCTCCCGAAAAGTTGATCCTACTATCGACGGTATAGCTTGAAGAATCTCATCTTGGTAGTTTTTGCGAAGAGAATCTAGTATTCCGCTCAATGCAACTTGCAGGTCTGGTGAAAATGACCTATCGATTAAAGGAGTCTCAACTTTTCCCATCGTAAAATCAAGCCTAGAAATTTCGAATGCTTGAACACCCCTTAACATACAGTTTGTTGCCTGTGAAATATCAAAAAGAGATCCAAGTTGCACTTTCCCGATCTCCGTCACATTCAGAGCTATTCTGGTATCCATGTCCAATTGAACATCCTTTGCTTTATACACTAGATCGATTTCATCAGTCCATGTTTCGTCCATTCTTGTGACACGGCATTCAAAAACAAAGCTCAGATCGTCTAGTTGCAGTTTAGTGTTCATTTTTTGTGAATCCAAAACGACCAACGGCTCGATCGCAGTGACCGTATCCAAACCTCTTATCCGCACTTTTGAGATAGTAATAGTGACACCGAAAGCCATAAATGACAAATCCTTGAGCTCGTATTCGAGGGATCTAGACTTATCGAGAATATATTCTCGTAGCATAGTATTTATTTGGAGTGTCATGTCCGAAGCAAGATCCCGGGAAAGGACTTCATTTGAACTTTCGGTGGAAGCAACGACGCTTTTTGAAAGGTAATTCCGGAATTCGTCGAACGCGATATCAACCCAGCTTCCAAGGTCCGACAGATTGTTCCAATCGATAATTTCACTTCCTTCTGGAAATGGCATTGTTTCTGATTTAGCTGATGGTGATTGGTCATTCGGTACAAGTGGCTTATTATCAGCCAAGAGAAGATGGTTCTTGGCTGAAACAATAATCGCTGTTTGTAGTCCTACAATACCCAAGGCTAGGATAGTTTGAGACGAGTTTCTCGACACTCCAGAAAGGTTAGGCATTTCAACCGTAGGTTCTGGGGCTGAAGCTTCGAATTTATCCGAGTGGGGACAAAATTTATGTGCTTGCTTGATCAACTCAGAGACATCCAACGCATCCCAGAGTGATAAAACAACGTCTTCAACAAGATCGATGATTGGCTTTCGAAAGGATGTGGCAAAAGCGGCATCTTCCAATTCGTATATTACATCGGAGATGGAGCCACATCCCGGACTCGTCGCAGATATACACACCGAATCCAAATAGAACGTCAAGATATTGAATGAAAGAGATTCAATCTCGATGGATTTCAAGCTTTCGGCTTCCACCTCGTCATCCTCTCGGTCGCTGCCAAATGCAGCTAGCCAACAGTGTGGATTTACAAGATCCTTCAAGGGGAATTCAAGGAGTGATCTTTCTTTCAAGTCGGCCAGGATTTCAACAGAAAAAGTGGAGGCCGGAACCGAGATACTGAAATCTACGACGTTAGTCATTTGCAACGGCGACTTGTCTCCCTCGATCCCCATATACACCTGAAGAGTGACGTTAAGGAAACGGAATCTTCCGGCATCATCTGTGACCGAATGCATCGCTAGCTGATTCGATAGAACATTACCCTGGTTGGTTGGTTGCATGAACTCTAGTGGTGCTGCTATTGTATCAATGTTGGAGACGGTAATCTTCGAGATTCGAAAATCGAGCTTGTCGTACAAGGGCGATGTCGATGAGACATTGAGGTATCGATAGACATCTTTGAATTCCAATACCCCTTCTTTCCCGGACTGTTCCTTTGTCATTTTGCGGATCCATTGCGTGTTGAATGTGTCGGGATCTAGTACTTCTTCGTTGATATAGGGCATGATCATGCTAGAAAAGAGGTTACCGTATGCAGCGGATCCCGAACCTCCCAAGTCAGTGGCATCTTCGGCTGTGAGGAGCAAGTCCCGAAAGTCTATTGGTTTATCATCATCGACCTCGTTGCTTGTCCACGGAATACAAGTCCGACTGTTGCTGTTTTGTGTGACACTACCAACAGTGCCTCTTTCCCCGGTAGTTGGTGGCCGCTGCAACAGATATTCGTGCAAGATTCTCTGCGTCAGCATTGGTCTCAACTCGTTTTGGAAATAGACCGGTGCAGCCTCCATCAGAACACGTTCGTACATCAAAAAGGATGCATCCATGGCCTCAGAAAAGAGGCGATCTAATCCGGGCGAAACCAGGCCTTCGATCGATGGTGTCAGGACATCGTTGGTGACTTCTACCGATAGGGTGGAAAATTCTAGATCAACAACGGTGGACAAGAGGCAGTCGATGGCGGCTGTGTTGGACCTGAGCAGCGAACCCAGTCTCACGTTGTTCTCCAGGGCCGTTTGGTTCAGTGCCGCCATGAGAGAAGCCCCTGCCGTAAGTCCGTCCACCCCCAGCATGAGTTTGACCTGCTCGACAATCTTTACTTGTGTCGAGGTGCCTTCCGTTTCGATCACGGAATCCGGCCTCGTCGACGGACGAACCGTGGCGGTCACGTCTACCTCGAGTGCCAGATACTTCCACGCTAGGTAGGTTTCCAGGGTGTAGTTTCCGGCCACTTCGAACGGGCTGAAATGGGTGAGCGTGTCCAGTCCCAGCAACTTCACACGGTCCAGGACAATTGTGGTATGTGTGACAACGTCTTCGGCGTCGTACAAAACACCGTCCCTTGGAAATCCATCGGGACCAACAGAGGAGGCAGTCAGGACCATGGCACCATCTTCCTCCAACACGAATTCTCGCAGCCATTGGTTCACCTGCAATTCATCCTTCTCCGTTGCGGGGCCCACCGCATCGTTGTCGGATTCAATGGACACCATTTCGTTAGACGCGAATACTCCTTTTTGGATCAATTCATTCATCCATCGCCCCGACGACGTATCCTGCTTTGAAAAACTAAGCAGTTCCGTTGTAGCAGGAAGCTCCGTCGCTCCTGTTGCTTTTGTTGTGGACGAATCGGTGGCGATCGATGGCGTCAGCTTCAATCGCTCGACGAAATCTTCTTCCAGCTGTTCGGGATCACGCGACAAAGCCGCCGCACCTGGCAACAAGTAGGGCTCCAATCCGTTCTCCCCCGCAATGTATTCCAACAGGTCTTTCGTGTTGACTTCCAAAAAGGCCTGGAGCTCCTCGCAAATCTTGTCGCTGGCTACGAGTTCCATAGCCGTTCTCAGCAGGCCTTCGATGGCGTCCAAAACCCAGCCGACAAAGCCACCGTTGTCGAAATCGACGTCGACGATCTCGACCGTTGGAAGACAGGAGTTCATGGAAATTTCCGTGGGAGGACTTGGCGATCCGGTCAGAAGAGACCTTACCGTGGCGGTGCTCACGACCTTGTTGTCGCGGCTGTAGAGATACACATCTCCTCGGTTGACAATCCCCAGCAATCCCTTGTATTTGTATTTCGCCTGGCAATTAAAGGCCAGCCCCTCTATCGACCATTGGAGTTCGACTCCCGAGGACGCCACTCCCGCGCTGCTCCCGCCGCTGTTGGGCAGCAAGCCCACGCTCCGGCTCGCCAGGTGGGCATCCTCGATGTAGATGTCGGTGCAGACGACTTCGGTCAGATCGATCGAATACCCGGAACCCCCCATGGTAGGAACGTCGGGCAACCTCACCGCGACGTCTCGGAGAATCGAATTGACGTCGGCAAAATCACCCGCGGCCGGTAGGGCAAGGGCCCCGAGCTGCAGAAAGAGCAGCAGCCGAGGGACTACGATTGAAACCAGCGCATTCGTGTTGCTTGCGGCAGCCATTCCTGATGAATGAGTTCTGTTGTGCTCTGTTCTGTTCTGTTCTGTTCTTTTGTGTTGTGTTGTGTTGTGTTGTGTTGTGTTGTGTTCTGTATATTGTCGTGTGCCTTTTGTACTGTATGCGGATTCTATACAGGTTGGCCGTCTGAGTCGTAGGTAAGGAACGGGAGTGCCCGGTTGCGTTGGGGTTGCCGTGCCGTAGCAACCTTGTTGTGTTTCGTTTCGGTCCTCTGGAGTTTTGCTTGCCTGTGTATGAATGACAGGGAAAAACGAATTGCGTCCATAAAACCAAGAGTGCAGGCACCCAGCGTCAGGAAACTGCCAGGATCGTCGGCAAGCAGAGGTGCTTCGCTTGGTGATCTGGTGCGATCGCAATGGTATTGAGAGGGCAGGATGCGACGTGACGTGACGTGAAGTCCCGTTACGATGTGAAAAGCCTTCTCTGATCCAGCGAGAAGAATGCAGTGAAATCAGATGCACCGTATCATACTGGCGTTTGTGGTGACAGTCCCGATAACTGGTCTCGCTAATTCACAAGACCGAGCGGCGATAAGTAGGTGACCGCAAAGAGCAATCTTCGGAACCGGAAACACGAGTAAAACAAGCTCCGTTTCCACTGTTTTTGGTGAAATCCAGATAAAATTCTTTAGTAGGTTCGGAATAACGTACAGTACGTACGGTATTGTACGCACGAAGTTAGCTACCGATATACCATGGCGATCAAGCCATTTTCTCACCCGTCCGGAAGCTATAACGGTGAAAAACAAGAAAAAATGTAGCGGTATGGTGCGGACCTCTCGCGCTAATGCCTTTTGCTTCTGGAAGGCATATTAAATTAATGCACGACTCCACTTATTCGCCAAAAAGCAACGACTTTCCGAGAAATTTGGCTTAGACTTTTGGTTCTGTGGGCTGCGTAGTTAGTAGTTACAAGTACTACCTGTTACGTACATACGGTATTTCCGTACGATAGAATACCACCGGCCACGGAACACGGAGCCGTACCCTCCAATATTACCAGTCGTAGATAGATAGTAGAAGTATGTAGGTACGGAAAGGCAGGGGTAGTCGAAAATCTCTTGAATCGGCGACGGTTTTCACTGCACACATTCACCACCGAGCGGAACGACATGAAACAAGGAAAAAGAAACGAATCGCATCGCATCGCTGTTGATGTTGATGTGACATCGAACAGAAAGGCACTCAACAAAAAATCGGATGAACAGATCACACTTACAGCACGCGTCTTCTCGTGTCTATTCCGTTGCAGTAAACTGCCATCAAAAACGCTTTGAATGAAAGCAAAAGTCAATCCAGTATCAATTTTCTGTACAAGGTAATGTGATAATGTGACAAGAGCACGAGTATCTTTCTCGTGATGATTGATTCATGGTATGTTTGCAAGTACGATACTTGCTCGTACTCTATGCAGTGATGGCCGTTGCTTTCTTGTTCTTGCCAAAGAATGGGTGCTTTTGCACAAAAAGTAGGACAACCGTTTGGTAAAAATCGGCCAAGGCATCCTCGACGCAATCGATGCATCAATCGCAAAGCCTTGACACGAAACGGACAACAAAAGCAAGAAGCTGACTGTTCAGATACAACAACGACCTCGTCGAACCGATCCATCCAACAAGCGATCGTAACAGCAATCCGCATCGATTCGGCAGAAGAATGGTAACCAAACGAACCGTGTACGCGGGGACCTGCTTCCGGGACAACGAACTGGTGTGCGGAGTGGTCCAGGAACAAGACTTTTGCGACGACGGAACGTGGGCTCCCCCGCACGTCGTTGCGGACATGGGCCACCCGAACCGGATCTGCGCGTACTACCCCGACCGGATGGTGATCGGCCGCTGCGACGGCGGGCCGGGCGGGAGCGGCGGCTGGTGTTCCAACCTGGCCTCGAGGTGCGGAGATCCAGAATCCTTCGTGGCCCGCGATCCGACCTGCCGCGTCACGCACGACGAGCGGTCGGGGGTCCCGACCACCTACGGCAGGTGCGGGGAAACCCGCTGCGTGTGGTCTCCCGAGGATTGCTCCGAAGGGGAAGACTATACCCCCAACGACACCGGCTGCACGGCCGACAGGGTCGAGCTGGGGGCGTGCCTGGACGGCTTCGGGTACTGCACCGTCTCCCCGAAGACCTGCGCCAACGTGGACGGCAGCAACACGACGGAACCCTATTACACCCACGAGGAGTTCCTCGACAAATTCGATACGAACTGCTACCTGGGAGACGTCCCGAAAGCGCCCCCGCCGGTGGCTCCGGCGGCGCCTCCCCCCGGCCCTGCTGCCCCGGCAACTCCGAGCAGCAACAGCAACAGCAACACCCATGTGGCAGCCCTGCAACCGCCGCTTTCTCGGAACGCGGTGGTGGGCATCGTCGTCGGAATCGCCCTGGTGATTGGAGTGGTGCTGGGATACTGGGCAGCGAGGCACCGTCGGTTAAGAGCTTGCCGGGACCCGCCCCCGGACCCCTACGGCGGACGGGAAGGGGAGACGCCGAAGGATCCCCCTCCCGCAACGATTGCGGTGGGTGGCACGGAACACGGCGTCGACGATTGCGAGGATCTGTCCGTGTGCTAGCAACGCACGCAGGCACGCAATGCGTACGCAATACAATACGTACGTACTGCAGGAAACGCAACTGTTTGGCGTGCATCCATTCCGGCACGGGAAGACAAAGGCATCAACCTTGTTTGATGGACAATTGTGTTTGCAGCCAGGCCGTACCGAAAGAGAGATAGTGTCCTGCCGGCCACCATGATTCTAGTTTCGGAAAAGAGGGAATCCTTCTTGCAACCTGTAAGGATCGGTATTTCCCGCCGTGTTTCTACGGATCCGAACTGCCCTAGAAGTGGCAGGGTGTTGCAAAGAAACTAACATTCGATAGTAACAAAAAAAGTCTTTGAAATGGATTGTACTACCAAACATTATTTCTTCTGCGATCACCTCGTGGCGCCATCTGGGATGTAGTAGTGCTACTACTAGTAGTGTATGGTAGAATCCTATTCTTCTCGATATTGTGGTGAACCAAGATATCAAAGCTCAAAAAGTGTGCAGGTGGTAGTTGCAATTCCGAAAACAGCTACCAATTTTTGCAATTAGTACCTAGTACCTAGTACCATTACCTTAGTTGAAGGTGGTAGCTACTGCTTTTTTCAGGTCTTCTTTCCCAAAAACCCACAAGAAATCTCAATCTTTCGGTCTTCTTTGTTGTGACGTAGTACTACTACTTCTTCTGCTAGTAGTAGTAGTGGGTAGGAAACTTTTCTGCCAATGGTGGAAGTTCCCACCCTCAACTAGTAAAATCTGGTTTATAGATAACCAAACACAATATAGTCACTAATAGTTACTAGTAGCAGTACTGCTAGTACTACTAGTACTTTGACAATCTGATTCTATGCTTCTACTACTAGTGGTTGGGGGGGGGGTGATCCAGAAGTACTGCTGTTGCTACCATTTCTGGTACAACTTCTAGTACCAGCAGTATAGCATACTGCTACTAGTAGAACTACTACTAGTAGTAGGACTACTAGTACTACTACTAATAGATTTATTCCAGTAGTAGTATGTCCCCTTAATCAAGGTGTCATCATATCTTTAGTAATATTATTTTTACTAAAATAATAATAATACTATTATTCGTAGTAGTAGTACTAGCTAGCTAGTACTAGTGTTATGATCTCTTGTTCAACACTGCTTGGTGACATTTTATTTCACTCCCTCCTTTTATCCTTGACCTCATATTCAATTAACATTTCAACAACAAAGAACAACAAGACGTGTGAGAAATTTGAACTTCCCACCATTCAATTTTTTTACTTTCTATCTAAAAGTTCAAAATTGTAAGCCACTTGACAAGAAAGAGAAAAACCAAAAAAAGAAATTCTTGGAATGTGTCTTGTTKATAATAGTGAATCCTAGTACTAGTGAAAGTGCTTAGTACAAGGCTTAAGATCTCTTCTAGTACTACTATTGGCTGCAACCTCAGTACCAACATTCAAGACCCCCCTTGAATTGACAATATCCATGTCAGTAGTCAGGGAAGCAATAACAAGGTCTGATTTCTTAACAGCTCTCGTGAGGGATCTTTCAGCAGCATGGCACCAACCCTGTGTGGCAAGAAGCCTCCTTTCTTGTGAAGCGTTGAACTCTTGAAAGGAGGATATTACATGAGGATTGGTTATAACTGCAACTTGGAGCTCAGCTGGAAGGATTGTTCAAGTCTTGGAAATGTAATGAGCACCACTACTAGTAGTAGTGGAGGCTAAATCCTTCACAAGTTGGATCATAAACTTGCCCCTGGTCTTGCTGTGGCCCTTTCCATCCTGGATCATGTCATTGATTGCATCCTTTGCTGGTGTCTTCCATGACACCAGAAGGTTTCTCTGGCTTCCGATTCTGAAAAAGCATCTAGTAGTAGTAGTAGTGGAACTTTTGCTKCATTGACAATGACACAAAGTGGGAAGTTTCCTAGTATCAACTAATATCTGGAGACTGGAGGTAGGTTCCCTTTTTTTGAAGTCAGAGTTGGGAACACTGCTGTTCTGCTTGACTGATAGGCTCATTAGTTTCCTGTAGATTTCTGGCCCTTGAGTTCCTTGCATCTTCTAGCTCTTCCACTCCTCCCATCTCAGTACCAGACCTCATTTCAACAAGGAATTTCTTCCTTGGTGATGATGACAGACTGAGCCCTAGCATATATAAGGGATTCCCCTGAGAGGGACCAGATGTTACCCATGGAATCTTTATCTACTAGTACTACTAGTGACAAGCCAAGACTGTCATAGAATTCTTAAGAAATCTTCCCCTGGGTATACATTGCACTAGTGCATCACCACTTCATGAGCATTTCTTGCTTCCATTGCTATATCAACATTTGAAGAGCCATCAACAATACTACTACCATTTTCAATTCCACTATCAATAAATGTATCTCAAACCTTTTTCCTTGAGAATGCTTTTGCTTTCACCTCAGGTAAATTTGCTGAACAGGCAACAACGGCAAAAATTTGTCCCTAAGTACAAGCAGGCCATTGGATTTCAATGTCTTCAACTCCCTTCTTGTCAGGAGGAATTGCAAAGGAGGACCAGTGTCTTTGTTGGTTGTTGCAAGAGAACTCTTCTGCCTCTTGATAATATTGAAAGGCCCCACATCTATAGGCTGGTGGCAAACAGTAGTCTTGGCACCAATCTTGTATATACTGCATTTCCTAACAATACCAAGATTGGATACTAGTTAATAGCTGAGTGATCTTCTTGACATCTAACTTGTTACTGAATCAACCCAAATTCTGGTAGCCAGATCTTCAGGACTTTCTTTAGTGTCAAGATCCAACCTGGTGATACTAGGCCAATTCAAAACTCTATATAGTAGGAGTGGAATACAATCATACTATTAAAAATCTCTTTATGTCCTCCAATCCTTCCTCTGCTGTAAAGCAATATACCCTACTTCAAAGCTTCTAGCATTCATGTTGGCATTGGCATGCGTTCCTGGTACTACTTCCTGAACCATGAATGACTTCTCAGGCATTTCCATCTCTGCAAAACCACTACTAAAGATACCAACTTTTGGTGGGAGGATGTATCCTGAGGCTGTTCTTCCTTCTTCATGTCATTTCACATTCTGATAACCAGTGCATGTGATGTCGCTTCATTCTCCCTAGGAAGCTGGTGCTGGCATGACTTCAATGAGCAATGATTACCTCTAAGGTAACAATGTGGTTAACAAGAAAAACAATTGAAGTCATAACAGCTACTACCACATTCTACTACTTAACCCTCAAAATGCTCTTTTTGATTACAAAGAGAAGGAGAGAAATGGAGAGAGTCATTCTTTAAGTCATTTCCTTCTCTCTGAAATATATTTGATCAGATCAATTAAACAAATGGGTTCTTGTTACACTTACTTTTTCTTTGGAAATCCCATGCAAAGAATAATACCTCTTCACCAGACAAAAAATATAGACAACAAGAAGTGGTGGCACTACTAGTACTAGTATTGATCTTTGAACTACTGGTTGGCTCTTCTACTTCCTTGTAAATAGTAAGGCAAAGAAACAAAATTCTCAATGCGCAACTTTATTGACAAACACTAGGCACTGGCATATGATACAAAGAATAAAGTCATCTTGATCCCTATGGCATCTCCTAGTAATGAAAAGGACAAAAATGCCAAACTTGGACAAAATGACCCAAAATACGACCGGAGAAAAATGATCATTGGTAATCACCAGCAATAATTTTCAAGAAGAAATATCAGGAATTAACAATGGCCAAGAACTGATGTGCAACTCAACTATTACACCACCAGTGCAGCAACAAAATGCTGCAGCATGAAAGCAAGAATAATGGGCAATTGCAATATTCAAAAACAAGAGGAGTGGACATTAACAGCAATACTAAAGCAACAGAAAACAAGGAGCAGCTGTATTTTATAGCAACAATCTGCTATAATACTACTAATCCTTGGAGAAACAATGGTGATAATGATTACAAAATCCATTGATGGGAAACTGGATTTGGAATGTCAAAAATTGAGGAGAACAGCAATGTTGGTCAAAATACAAAAATATATGGTGATTCTTCATTGTATTTAAAATGCACCATGATAAATGAGTAATTCAAATCAGCAATTGCTATTCAGTTTTATTCTTTTTTCTATCAACAGCTAGAAACTTTTGCAATGATAGGATTACTATTGGGTTCGCAAGAGCAAATACAACAAGAACAAGGAAAAGTAATAGTATCTCAAAGAACAAACTGCCTCTGTATATTTTGTAGTACTGTGTTCTATGCTACTAATGTTGCAAACATTAAAGTAATGTTGGGAACCTCTGGATTAGTTTGAGTGCAATCAATTGTTTATATATTCATAGTATTGTTACCTAAAACACATATGTTTTGGGTTCTTTTTCACCAAATAGTGTAATCCACATTTTTTTACAGAAGGAATTAAAAAGTGGATGTGTGCTGTAGAGGGCTACAGACCACAAGAAGGAAAAAAACTGCAGCTTTCTTGTTTCAACCTTTTCATAATTTTTTCATTTTCTACTACCTCCTTGAAAATCATGACTGTTGCACACAGTACTAAAGTAGTAGTACTAGCACTAAAACTACAAAAATACCCTACTTTTTACTATTGTCTATCTCTGCAACTAAATATCAGATAAAGACCTAGTTTTTGGTAGGATTCATCTTAACACACAAATGAGTGTGTTGGTCATACTGGGTATTGAGGATTATTTGAAATCATTATTATTACATCTACGGTACGAGTAAGCCTAAACAAGTCGTCAATACAACTGAGCTCCATTCAAGAAAGCATCTCCTACACAAAAGGACTTCAAGATTGACCTAGCTACCAGCAGGGGACATATGAGGAGTATATAAAGTCCATGTATTATCTAGTGGGATGTGAAGCATTAACATCCATATCACTATCTGAGCAATGTAGTAAGCACTATTACTAGTGGTACCAATGTGAAACATATTAATTTACTACTAGTAGTACTACTACTGGTATCACTTCTACTAAAAATTATCCATAAGATTTAAGTTGCCATTCTCCTTTTGGATTTTGAGTGATATTATCAGAAAGTTTGAGAACAACAGTATAATCAGCTTCAAACAGATAATAGAGTTGTCTATATTTCCTGTTAGGCATATTGTCTTTTCAATTCTCCTCGTTCTTCTTCCTCTGACCAATCAAAAAGTGACAAGACCTCATCCCTCCTGCTCCTATCCATTATCAACCCAACTCTTTGCTTGATGTCCTACCTCCCTTCTTCCCATCTACATTCTCAGCAATGCTTTCATCTGGATACCACCAACTCTTCTTGGAAAATCAGTTCAAAAAATAATTTGAACCAATGGAATAAAACAGCAGCTTGAGATCCAGAGCATCATTGAAGGAAAGACCATCATCAACAACCTTTCTTCCTTCCTGGATGAGGTCCTTGCATTTGTTGCCAGTGGAGAAAAGAGAGACTTGAAGAAGCTAGTACCTCCAAAGATAAAATTGATGACAAAGGGAGTTGGTAAAGTGGTTGACCTCCTTGATCAATCACTTGACTATGATGGAAATTTTCAGACTGGCAAATGACCTTCTGTCTACTACAGTGACAGAACAAGAAGAAAACAAGCAGAGAGTCATCAGTGAGAGGTTTGAGACATCTGGCAAGTTGATGAACAAGAGGAAGTCTATGGTTGAATCAAGTTGGTTATCAAGATTAAATCTATACTAGTTGAACAGGTTCTTAAGAAATCAACCCATCCAAATACCCCATCAATAGTACTAGTATCACCTCCAGCAAGAAAGAGACCAAGAAGAAGATTGTGCACAAACTCTGCACGAAATAACGTGTACTGAATTGTTTTAGTAGTACTAGTAGTAGTATTTAGACTGTATCTAAATTAGGATTGTGAGACTAAAACTAATGAATAAAGTATCACTCGGTGAATCCAGCTCTCACACGCTTTCCCGTGTTATACTGGATTCATTGAGTTAGAATTGATAGTAGAAATATACATCCAAGCAGTACAAATCAAGTGTGTGCTAATTTCCTCAGTTCTCGGATGGTGTAGGACTTGGTACTGCTTGTACTGAGCGACTTTGGAACAGAACTCCCGATCGATTAGTTCTGTTCTGAATTCTGCTTCTGAGAACTTATATACTACATGTGCTGTATGCAGTGATGCTTTGAGTTATATAAGTGACGTTCACTATATACATGTGTATCGACTTGTGTAGTATATATATATATAGTATACTATCTAATRCTCGTACAATCGTACTCGTATACTAGTAGTACTATATAGCTTCCGGTATATATATATAGTTTTGGGTCCCGGGGACTCATGATTAATCTGCCTTTTGAGTCTCCATTTTTTCACCAAACTCCTGTTCCAACATACCTGCTCTTATAAGAGTCCCTATAGTAGAATCTTCAAATAGGTACTAGCTGCTATTCCATTTCATCTCTTCTGGAACAACTTTTTGGAAAGCATTCATGTTGCTGGATAGGTCGTAGCTCTCATGAAATCCCCTGACCTCCAGGTTTTGGGTTGGACAGCGTGGCCAGAGAGGACCAGCAAGACAGAAATTTTAGTACTAGAGATATACCTAGCAAGTGAATCCCAGTGAAAGTACTTTCCAGGATGGAGTTCAATTCTATCCATTGGAACTCTTTCAGTTACAAAGCCTGGGAGTCCTCCTTGGATCTTCTGTGCAAATGGATGAGCTGCTGAGTTGACACTGTCCATAGCAGTTGTCAAGGACTCTTTCCCAATAGTAGAGGCAATCAATCTTGCTGATCCTTGACATCATTCCTTGGTGAACTTGAATGTCTCATGAATTGACGGGGCTTGAAAGGAAAGAACATGAGGTTTAGGAATAGGAATCACAGCTGTAGGAAGCCCAACTGGAGGAACACTCCTAGTCTGAGGCTCATCAAGCAATGGGCTGAGTGGAAGATAAATTGTTAACCAATTGGATGAGAAATTTTCCTTTTGTCATCCTAACAAAAGCATCCAGCAGAGGAACCTTTTATAGTGCTATTGCAATTACTACATAAAGTGGGACATCTTAAATCAGCTCAATCCTTGGATCAGGAGGAACAAGTCCTGCTTTCTCAAGAAGGAGGAGTATAGAACATTCCTCTGCTTGGACAAAAAGTGAATCTCCTTGTATCATCCAGATTCTTGATTGCCTCATCATTCATCCTCTTCAAGAATTCACTGGTGATGATGCTGGGTTGTGATCTGCCACCAAAACCCACCAGCAAAGACTGACTTGTCCATCTCCAGTCATTATCATCACAATCCCGATCCAATGGATAACCTGCTAGTGAGTCAAGGAAAACCTAAGATATGCTTCCTCTAATACATCTCTGTACTAGTACACTCAAGAAGTGTATCCACCATGAAAAGAAGCTTCTGCAGAGTTGGGCTGCCAAGAGGTTGTTGTTGCAACAAAAGGGAACAGCAACAAGAACATTGCCTGTCTGCATCACTGCATGAACATCTGGTGGGCATCCATCATCAACACCACCAGTGAATCCACTATCAACAAATTGTCATCTGTACTAGTAGTAGCCACTCCACCAAAAACATAGCACTACTTCTAGTACTAGTAGGTTGAACATGTCATCAGCATCATGGTGAAGTCATCGTCACCACCATGTTTGAGGCTGGTGCTGGTGTTTATGGTGCTTTTGCTCTCCTGACAATATCACTCAAAATCCAACAGGAGAATGGCAACTTAAATCTTATGGATAATTTTTAGCAGGAGTAGTAATTGCACAGTAATAATAGTACTAGTGCTTCTTGCATTGCTCAGAGGTAATATGTCCCCTGGTTCTACTCTGTACAGGCATTTTCCAGGTAAAAAATTGAAAAAAATTGTGAAAAGTTGCATTTTCGTCGACGCGTAGTACGAGTACCGTACGGACTCGTAGTCTATCCGAACTTAAGTCAATCTTCAGTCTTCAGACGTATTTAAGCTTCTATTTTTTCGGCCTGTCAGTCTAATCTATCAAAAACAGAAGATGTAAAATCGTACATTACTTATCGGAATCTGACGCATGTTGATTTCATTAAGGGAGTCGTATTTAATAAATTCTCTTATTCCCGAGATTCTCTTTTGAGTTTTGTTAAACTCTTTAAGTCCAAAACCACTTCCTCGCCTTTGTCCAGTTATTCAGGCTACCAGGAGAACATCCCGAATATAATGAAGCACGTGACATCATCGGTCCCCTCTCTAATTACCATAATTTATCATTCACTCTTGCAAAAGAATCTTCTTCCAAATCACGTATTTTTCTACGTTGTGTACCAGTACTGAAACAAAGAAAAGAATTTCTAATGATTCGATTGGCCAGAATTCTGTGAAAGTGAGTCTATTTTTCGCAGCAACTGATGTGCGAGAAAAATAAGAGCACGATTCTGATGTGCCAAAACAAAAAACATCACGAGTGTCAAACAACAGAAGGCGCGCCATCTTCCACTCACAATTAGTGTGTCAGTTGTCACGATCACGGCATCACAGAACAATCGAAAACCGTGGTTGAAGTTCAGGACAGTGAGAAAGACACCACAATACGAATGCATAGATATCATACATACCTTTGAAAGCAAGAACCGTCTAGACCTCAGAAAACAATCAATTCGTCCGAATACATCATGAGCATGTCTGTACCCGCTCAGATCTTTGAAACAGGAACTACTGTAAATACGAAGACCGAAGACAAGAGTAGAAAGCGGAGGCAACGGGGAAGATTGGACAGTTCAAGTGAAGTAGTCAGCAAGGATTCAAAGATGACCAGTCAGGATTTCCTACATGTAAGAAGGCATATCGCCGTTTCTCTAAACGAAGAATCGAAATCGAAATTACCAGCTTCCGCAACTTTATCCTCTCTCGTTTTTCAAGAACAATCGAGACCGTCGGCCGCTCTTTTCTCTTCCTTTAAACCTGTGCTGGGAGTTCCAGCTAAAAGCAATGACAACAATGACAGAAATGGTATCCCGATGCTTAAGTTGCGCCCGAGGCAGCCTAAGAAGGGTGGACCTTTTTCCAGTTCCCAATTCTATTCGGAGGAAGACCATAGCAAACTTTCTTCCGCTTTCAAGATTCCATCATCAAACATCTTTCTTCCTTTCTTATCACACGAGATATCGCGATCGCAATTATTGAATTTCAAAAAAGAAGAAGCTAGGAAACGAAAGCAGTTCGATCCTTGTCCGCTACCATCGGAAACACAGAATCTTGCACCTCCCGTACCTCTTTGTAAAACACTTCACACCAACGATAGTTTACAAGTCAAGTCGAGGGAGAGCAAAAGAGTGAGATCTAGCTCAATATCTTGCTCCTCCCCACCGCTTCTCGTTCCTTCCATCGATTTTGCTATCTCCTCGGCAACAAGAATCGGGGAAATCACTCCTGCTCCCTCTATAAACGGCACATCATTCACTACACCTTCGCCAACCTTGACCMACAGTCCGATCGAAAATTTGTCTTCTGGGAAATGGTCACGTATCAATAGGAACACCAAACGTTTAGCGCTGACTGTTGCGAAACCAAAAGCCATGCGCCCAGTATCAGGTATTTCCTCTTTTCTCCATGATCCTACTCCTGTCATCACTAGCGATACTACAACATCACTGTTCCAATCATTTCAAAAGGATAATTTCGAAGCAACTGAGATGCCAGTTCTAAATGTCACCAGCAACATTGCATTTGATAAAAACCAACCACCGTCAGCTTTGACCTCGTCAACAAAATACTCCGCCTTCTCGTTTTCTTTGGGTGGACTCTCCCCAGCATCAGTATCCTCATCCTCATCATCTCCATTTTCATCTCCAATACGAAGAATTAGCACGATGAAGATCGTCGATAACAATACGTTTTGACCTGACCTAATAATGTGCTTCCATAAAAGTGTTCTGTACACTATTGTAATATGTTGTTAATAGATTTTGAATTTAATTTTGTGTACTCAAAAGTTTTTTACTAATATCACCATTGCGACCGAGACGCTACGTTTCAGCATGCATCTCCGATCGTGTTTGCAATCATATTGCTATCATATTTTGTTAGGGTGTGAGTGAAGGTCAATGATGAGTCTTTCAGCTAGAATACGTATATTGGAGTGTGAACTGAAGTACGTATTTTAATTGATGCGATCACATCGGAGATATACCCGTCGGTGAAAAAGATTTTACTATGGAACAAGTACATCATGAGGTACGTTTACTGAAAACGGAAGAAAAATGATCAGTTCTTACCATGAAATGCGCTGTCTGGTTTTCTGTTCCAAGAGTTCGATCAAGAAATACAAGGGAAGTACTGTAGCTGCTATGTTCTATCGTGAACCGAAAGAAGAACTTGGTCCCATTACCAAAACAACAAGATGCAACAAGCAGTACGAATTTTTTCCAAGAACAATTTAATGACGTGTCACAACGTGTTTAGTACTTCCTGGCAGGCGGGGAATGTATCATCAAAACGTACGGTATTTACGTACTACTATGTTCTGTCCTACACTACGATTTTTGATTGAAAACAAACTGTTTGTTGGCGGGATGTTAACAGAAATAATTGCTGATATCAGTGCGTACTACTACTAGTAGTAGATAGTAATGCTGCTTATTTTTTCATCTAGAGTGGACTATCACTAGTATTAGTTGTCTTAGACCAAGCATAGTACTAGTACTTGTAGTTCCTATATCTCCTTTGTTGGTGGTGTGTTGGATGGAAGCCAGTTGATGACTACTAGTAGTAGTACAAATGATACTAAGTGAATCATACTAGTATTAATGTCCTCAGCAGAAGTACCAAGAAGAAGGAGATCTTCCTGAGGCAAGAATAGGGATACCCAATATCCTCATCACTGAAATTAAATTCTGCTTTGACCTTTCTGTTTCTCTTTTCATATTGATATAAAAAGAGCGTTTGTTAGTTTGTGTTAGCTTGTCTTCAGGTTTCTTCTGAGTTTTTCAAGGGAGCAGGCAGAAGCATCATATTATGTTTTTGCTCTACTTCCATTCCTTTTGGTGATTGAAATGAATGGCTTTCTCTTTACTGGTATTTGAAGTTGAGAAAGTTGTTTAACAAATTGATTTTTAATGAAAATCTCAATTGTTCCGGTGTCAACCATTGGGCACACAATTGTTGTTGCATCGTATGATGGCAAATGCCAAACATATTGATCGCTGTTGGCTTCAGGTTCGAATGCTTCGAAAGAGATGGGGAAACGTTGATTCCACTGAAAGTCTATTCTCTTCTTTCGACTCGTTTTCAATAATGTGGTGCCCAGAGGAGGTAAGCAAAGACATGCAATTGGAATTTCTCAGGCCGATGGTTCGGTGAGATGGAATGCAAGGAACTTGCCAGCTGTTTCGATGGGTAGATGTATGCAACCTTAGAGGCACTGGTACAACTTTATGGTTCATGTTCTGCAGATGTCATACCGTGGTATAGCATAAGAATCCCAAATGCAACCTCTGTTTTTGGTGCGCGCGCGTGCGTCGGCAGGAGTCCCTTTGTTGAGATGTCATACCGTGATCTGTGTTTTGCTGTGCGATGTTTCATGCTTACGACACGTACGAGAATGTCTCTGATTCTTCTTCTGCGGCAGAGTTGTATTCGTATTCATCGTCAAAAGTCGAGTGGAAGGTCATCTCGTCGTCATCGTCGCTGTATACGGCGTGCGAGTCTCCGTTCCTATCAATTCCTCGGTAACTGCCATTGGTACCCACACTGTGTTGGGCTGCGTCCGGCCCTTCCATGGGTTCCCCGTATTTGTCAAGCAGAAAGTTCTTCTCATGGTCTTGCTCGTCGTCATCGGTTTCGTATTCTTTTTCCTCGTCGTCGTGGTAAATCTGTATCTCGATGGACTCCTCCATGGCCTCCGTAGCATCGATGCACTGGTCTTCCTGCTCCTCCAACACCTTCTCGTTGCATGGTGTGTCCGCCAGGCCACTATCGCCAACCTCGTCGGTCGGGTAGAGTTCTTGTTTGTCGCCCCTCCCGGTGGCATCGTAGTAATAAAAGTCGATTGGGTAGTAGGCTCCGCGAAAGGTGATACACACCATCCCGAAAAAGGCGATGCAGACAATGCACATGAACACCAGGTTCAGCGAGACCGGAGCCAGTGTACATGTTGACTCGTAGATCCAGGCCGTGTAGAGCGGGACGACGTTCCGGCAGGACATGAGGGTGAGAGCCCGAATCGACGTCTGCGACAGAATGGTGATGAGGTCCTGAAGACTTTTCAGCAGGACCACGATGGGCCCGTACTCCATGCCGCATTCCTGGGACAGCTCCAGTAACGTCGTGTCCTCGATCGACCGGATGAATTCTCCGAGGATGTTTCGGCCCCGGGCCAGATCCGCGTAATGTCCCTCCATGAATTCCCAGGGATTGGGTTTAGTGCACTGGTGGGTGTAGAAGACCATGATATCGTAAAAGAAATTGTCGGAAGGCCCGTTGTCGTCCTTGGATTGACTTCCACTGTCGTCCTCCAGGTCCAGATTGTTCAGAACCCCGAGAATGGAGTCCTCTGGGGCACCGGAGGAAACGCAGATATCGGCGTTGGCCTGGATGGCCACCACCAGAGTGGTGGCCGTGACGAAGGCCAGTATCGTCAACAGCACCAGGAGGGGCACCACCAGCCAGGTGACAAAAGAGTAGAAGGTCTCGCTGTAGAAATCATACCAGCCCATTCCCACCGCCACCAGTAGGATGATCGGAATGATAAAGTAAGGAAAGACGATGGCCGTGACCACCGGATTTCCAACGAATTGTGCCATGTCCGTTACGGCGAGGATGTTGCTAGTAAACGTGTTGGTCGTGTTGACCCCATCCTCAACGTCCAGCAGGTATCCCTCGATGAAATCTTCGAGATCCGTCATGGCATCGTAGGTGTCCTCCCCGACGGATCGGACCTGGTCCTCTGTGTCGCTTCCGGGCTCGAGGGGGCAGATGTCCCGCTTGAGGAAATCGACCAGCTCGTCACGGATCGGCTTTGTCTTGGCTGAAACAACGAGCAGAGTGGTGACAATATACTTGACCTCCTTTTCGACGATCTGGATTTCGTCGGCGGTGAATGCAATCGAGTCCGACAGGTACTGCATGCGTGGTAGCCCCAGTGAGATCAGGAAGATGGTAGAGACGATCATCATCCACGCGCCGACACTAAATACTACGCGTCCGGCCGCCGACTTTTTGCCCTCGACCTGAAAGGGAAAGCCCGCCAGGAAGCCAACGTGCTTCGGCCCGATACATTTGAAAATGCCAATAGCGATCCCCCAGAAGAAAAAGATAGTCAGAATCAAGGTCCCGACAAAGAGGAGACCTAGGTAATAGTGGTCGGGGTAGTCTCCCATCAGCAAGGAAAAGTCGTCGGAGTGGCCAAAGCGGGGCAGGTTGTTGAACTTCGTGACCGCTTTGGGCTGTGAATGATTGGTTGTACGGAAACAGGTGGTTAGCAAGATGATTCATATAAAACAGAAATAAAGAGACGACAAGACAATGATCATTTTCCTTGGCAAACAAACAACGCTGAATGCAATTGAATTGTTCATTTAATGCGAAATACAATTCAAATCAACCCTATTCAATTCCCACGCGCCTCGGTTGTCATTGGCCTTCCAAGCTGTCCCTACAACCCAGGAGATTCGAAGCGGTATTTGTCACACAAACCAATCCAATGTCAACCTAGACTCACCGCAACGTATAACTCTTGGTAGTATTCTGGGTTACCGAGGATGTAGCCTTTCACAAAGTTGTCGGCGTCGGTGTTTTCGAATCCCGGCAGCAGGTCCTCGACCTGAAATCCTTCGTCGTCGTCCTCGGCGTCGCCTTCCTCCCCGGTTTCGTCGGATTCTTCGTCGCCGTCGTCGCCTTCTTCGCCGTCTCCATCATCTCCATCTCCCTCGGCGTCTCCCTCCGCTGCTGGATCTGTCTCGGTGTCGGTTTCTGTTTCGTCCCCTCCATCGTCTGCAACGGCTGGGGTGTCGGCTGCGTCCTCGTCCTCGTCCTGCGCCTTGACCAGGAGCGTTTCTCCCATGGTGGAACGAACCAGGAAGGAAACGAGGAACAGGAGCACGAGCAAAAGAAAGCGGCTCGACCTCGTTGGTTTCATTGTTGTTGTTGTTGTTGTTGTTGTTGTKTATTGTTCGGAACGGAACTGATTGATGTGAATTCCTGATTGCACAAAGATTCGGAAGTAGCTTATTGCTTATTGTTCCTTTGCTCTTCTTTCCTCCGCAAACGGCAATGGACAAAGCCTACCGAAGACGAAGTTGTGTCGTGTTGCTGGAGACCTGGAACCCGGGATAAGGGCCGATCGGTCCTCAGAATGCTCCAGCAGGACTGGTTGCTGCTATTGGTGTTGCTGCTGCCCCACGGAGAAAGCGATTTTGATGGCTGTTACGGACAGACAGACCACCGGTAGCGGAAGGCAACAATAAAAAAGGCAGAACCTGCGGAATCGAAGCGTAGGCGATTCGAAGMAGTTTGGATCGTTTGCGCCGGTGATCGTTGTGCCTTTACTGCGGCGCTACACCGAAGCAGATTGTGTTGAGGAGACACGGCGGCAACCGAAAAAGTATCAAAAAACAAACCAGCAAACACCGATGCGCCAAAACTGTTCTTGGGGATGGAAGCAAGGCCCGAAGTTTCCGGGGTTARGAACGAGTACGAATACCTGTACTCGCGCCGTGACTACTTTATTTCGTGCTGCCGATATTCGGGTGATTCACAGATCACCGCCGTATGGAGTGAACAGAGGTGCACACACGGTGCTTACGGAACGGCATAATAAAAATACGGTATGTAGGAATCCCGAACAAAGAGTACGTGCTGCACGGCAGGGTACAATGCCGAAATCGCCGGAATCCGGCAAACCGCGGATGGATGGAGGTGTCGAAAAAAATGCGCCACCGAAATCCCCGACAACAGAAGCATTATTTATTGTTGTTGTGGTTTCGGAAGGTTTTGCGTCAAATCCGTACAACCATAATTGGTCCAAAAAGGGAATGCCGCAAATCGGATACTAGCATATGCCCAAAAAATTCTATGCTAAGAGGAAAACTGGTATCAATGACGGTGAACATTCTTCGCTGAAAAGAAGAATAGTGATATTATTGGAGACGCACAATCCTACGGAAGGAATGACTGAAGGGAACACGATACGGTAAGTTGTAACTACCAAAACACGTATGTTCATATCACCGTTGTACGTACGTACGTACGTACTTCTATATACTTCTATATAGTTGATATTTTGACTACCTCGACTATTCTCGACATGCACGATTCACTCCACCGATCTTAATCTTAACTCTCGGAGTTTAGTGGGTACGGTACCGTACGAGATATCCTACAGCACTACCACGGGAGCGATCGGAGGGCACACACGGGACGACACCATTCCCTGCACCTGCCCCGCTTTTTCAAAAATTTGAATTGACACAAACTTCTCGTCGAACCACAGGCACCGGAGAGACGAGGCGGGGGCATGTAGACAGCTACACGGTACACGAGCGATTCCCTCAACACCATTCTTGTTGTGGCCGGTTGCTAAGAATTGGTAGTAATACCGCACCCTACCGAACCATATAATTATCAGATCGTTCTGATTCGTTGCTGTTGTCCGGTGGGCATCTTCTCACCCAAGAACAGGTGCGTGTACCAAGAAGCTTCCTGTCCGGATTGGCCATCAAGGTCCGTGAGTCACAGAGAAGAACAGTCTGGGAACTAGGCAACCGCGTAGCGAACGCAACAATTGCAATTGCAACCATAGAAAGCAGGTCGCCATTGGAGTAACCGTCGGCGACACACTGGGATGGATCACTTCTTATTGGAAACAGAACCCGACCACAGTGTGGCAGCAACGCATGCAACAGCGTCCACTGCCGATCGTATCGATCGCACGCTGGCATCTCTTCGAATAGGACCCGGCATCGAAGAACCAGGGGGAAACGACGCCGGAGATGCCGATTCCTCTGAATCTTTTTACACCTACCAAGCGGTAAGCACGACAACAATACGTACTGTATACTCCTAATACTGCATGGTATGCTTCCGTCCCATTCCTTTGTTTCCCCCTTTGTATCGTTTCTCACTGTATTGCCTTGCGTTGCGTTGCGTTGCATTGCATCGGTTTGTGTGTTCATTGCTTCATTGATTGGTTCATTGATTGGTTCATTGATTGGTTCATTGGTTCGTTCGCTCGTTGGTCGACCATTGTCGGTATCCCATCCCATCCCTTCATTCCAACCTTTTCGCTCCGAAACAAAACCTAATGATTCATTCGTCGTGTGTTGCGATTCATAATCTGTTCAGTCGGACGTGGTTCGGCTCATGCACCGCGCCCCGCGTGGGGTCGGACACACCAACCGGATGGCATCGTTGCTCGAAAGCGTGGGAAAGGGAAACACAAACGCAAACGCAAACGGAACACCTTCGTTTTCGCTTGCAAACAACGATTACACGAACGGTCTGAGGCTGTTCGCGGGATTCTTTGTTCTAGCTCCCTTTGTGATATGGGCAATCGTGCTGATAGCCTTCAAATGCAAACATTGTTACGACGTCTTTCGAGGAAATAATGCAGACAACAACCCCACAAACAACAACGCCAACAAAACAGGAAAACAATCATCGGCAACTCCGCCGACCACGAAATCCTCTGAATCACAAACGGCAATAACAACCTCAAACAAATCGGAATCGGAAACCCGGAGCGAAATCGATGCCAATTTTACCACCCCCTGGATCGCCGGCGGCTCGGTCATCGACATGATCAAGCTGAGCAAGGCTGGTGTCCAGCGGAAACACCGCAAGCGCCTCGTCTTGCAGTCCTGGAGGATCCAGTCCCTCTTTCTATCGGCATCCATTCTGATCCCAATCATAAGCGTCGTAATGATGGAATTCGGATGGAAACCCCTCGAGGAGGCCGTTCGGGAACTCCAGGACCTCAACGGAGACGTCGAAACCCTTGCCTACCGCGGATGGGACGCCATGCAGCGGCTGGAATCTTCCAAGCAGGAACTTTTTTCCGAAAACGAGCTGGTCCGATCCGTGGTCGAGTATTCCGACTCGAAGGCGAAGGGATACGAACCGGATCGGAAACCCCTGACCGACATGAATCGAGACGGCGGCGACACCTATGGCAGCAACAACGACAAGAACAACAATCGCAGCTTGCAGAACAAACCATTCGCTGCGAAGCAAAAGCAGAAGCAGAAAGAAACGCAGACCGTGCCTCCCACACAACTCCCAGAGATCCCGTCGGATATCTCTCCGTGGAGCGACATGGTCACCTCATCGCCAACCGAGCTACAGATTGAGATTTACAACCTTGAAGATGCTCCGGTAGGAGGCGATGCGTGGAAGGACAAAAGTGAGTACCTGTTGAAGACCATGGAAAAAGGGAAAGCCCTACCGCCAACCACACCGCAGAACAATGGCGTCGTGGACAACAGCAGCAGAGAAGAAGAAGAAGAAGAAATCAACAATGAATCTGTGCTCTTGCTCGACGATTTCTTCCTTTCCGAGCCCGCTTCGTCAACATTATCAACACAATCATTGCCCTCTTCCTCTGCTCTTCCAGTGGTTGATACTCCGCAGCTCAAGGGTGGAGGCTTGATCGAAGAGTGGTGCCCCGATGCCCCGCGTTACATTGGTGAAGAGGAAATGGCGTTCTGGGCCTCTTCGATCGATAGCTTGAGCCAGAACACAGAAACCATAGATCGGATCTTCAATTCCCTCGAAACCTCCTTTCCGTACACCGAAGAAAACAAAGAAACGCCGTCGTCTTCGCGTTCTGATAACGGAGACAATCCGGAAAAGCAAACTCACGGCTCTTCGGCATTTCGATGGGTGATCGAGGCTACGAACGCCGTCAACGAGGCAATCGAGTGGTTTTTCGCGAACGATTGGCTCCTCAAATTGCTTGTGGTTGTGCTGAACGTTGTCAACGGATTGCTCCTGGCGAACGTTTATTTCGTCAGCAAAAACAACATCATCCACGCACCGACACGGTGCTACGTAGCTTATTTTTTGGTTCCCCTCTTTGCCGTTGCGGCCGTCCTGGTTCTGGTCGTTGCGGTTGCTACCAGTGTGGCGGTCTTGGTCAGCGCAGACTTTTGTTCGGGTGGAACGAGCGGGAGTGGCAGTCCCCAGGGGACCATGGAAGACTTTGTCTCGACGCTTCAGCATCGCCTGAATCAAAATATCGAGGGTGGCCCGAATGATCCCCTCGATCTCTTGTACGATTCGGTCGATTACTTTTGGACGGTACGTGGGACGCAGCATCGTGTGCGGGAGTCCATCAGAGTGTGCTTTTTGGCTCCCCTTTTCTAATTACTCTTGTATGGAAATCTATTCTCAATGGTCCTGTATTATTGTTTGCTCGCATCGAATTCACAGGGGTGTCTCTCGGAAAATCCCTTGCAGTTTCTGGACGATTTTTCGAACGACGTAGACGCCGCTGCCGCAAAACTCAATCAAATCACAATGTTGCTGCCGGATACGGGTGTTGCTACGGTTACCGCCAGCAGCTCTGCGTTGCAACCAGAACTAATAGCCGAAGGCAACCAAACGGATGCCAACTCTGGCTCCTACATCAATCCATTTGCCTCCGCCACTCTAGAACGATTGAACAAGGCTTGCGATCGTGACATGTCCTTTTTGCCCCCGGCCATCAGTGATCTCGACCACCACGTCGACGGGATCAAAACAAACATCCACAAACTTTCCGATATCATGAGTTGTGGCCAGGTCAGCCCGCTCCTCCTCACGGTTTCTCAGGGTGCGATGTGTGTCGAATTGCCACACGGTTTGACGGTACTGTGGGGTTGCTCGTTCGGGATTGTCGCATTGTGCTTTGCACTGCTCACGGTTCGAGCGGCCCTCTACAACTCGGTAAAATACAAGAAGCGGCGACCGACAAAACCACGCCGCGTGGTGGAAAAAGAGTTCAAGGAATACAAAGAATACATGAGACAATACTACGGAGAACAAACCACCGAGAAATGGAACATTGATGGCGAGTCTCTTCCTCCCACAAAGCTTGAGTTCGACTTTGACATCGAGATGGAGAGCACGTTCGACAGCTCCTCGCCGATCAGTGGAACCCTTTCCAACAGCAATCTAGAGGGTAGCTCCGAAATCGGCGGCTTTCACGAACAAAACAATGCTGACGATGGCGACTCGTCCTATGGTTCCTCGTACGATTCGGAAATATCGGACGACGAAAACTCCATCGATAGCGATCAGGAACAAGGCAGTGCGATTGGATCGCTTCTGTCCGACACGAGATCCATCGCTATGCAGACAATGCATTCCCTGCGGAATGTCACGTCGTTGCTGTCGTCCACCGTGAAGAAGAACACTTCTCGGCTCCGTGACTATAGCATTCGAAGCCCCCAGCACCAAGGAAGCGTTGGCAGCAACTGTTACGACGGGTTTGGGGCAAGCCCCGCAGCCAAAGGTATGGGCGCGGACAGCAACGTTGCTCCGGTCGTTGTCGTCCCGGAAGACGATTCGATCACGGAGGACAGTCTGTACCTGCCTACCCCGGTATCCGATTGCGTCATCGATCCAGAGATGACGTCTCCGTGTCACAATCGAAGGGACCAAACACACGAGACGACCAATTTGTTGCGGTTCGATGATAGCTACTCGGACGAGGAGGGGACGAACGAAGAGGAGGAGGAACTACAGATACGCAGTGCCATACGGCTCGCATCCGACCGATTGAAGCAGGCGCTAACTCCATCCAACCTTATATCCACGCTCTCTCCCTCGGCACCCCGTAAATCATTCCCTTTTATGGCTCGAACATTGTACAACAATCTGGAAGGAGGAAGGAGCAAAACCACCAACAGAAACAGCACCGATGACGAAGAATTCACTGCGCTGGTCCAACCAATGCAGTTGGCGAATCTCACGCCGTTTCGAGACCAACGAAAACATCAAGGCTCGTGAGGTCCGGTATCGGGCTGATCGAGGAGCGAAGAAGATCCCACCGAGTCGTAGACAGTGGGGACATGACGGCGGATCAAGTGGTGGCGGTATGTCTTCTGCGTTCGAAGCGAGGAAATCCACCGAGGGAACCAATGCGTGTCATAGATCGGCATTCGCATAACGTTTTCTCGATGACAGACAGTTTATTTTAGTTTGCATACAATAGAACATACATCCAAGAACAGAGTGAAAAGATTAAAATACAGAAATTACACTATCAATTGCTTCGATATCAACCGACTCCGGCAGACCCGAAAGAGCATGCTGCGCAGTCGTCGGTAGCATTGTACAACTGAATCGTGGTGCCCGTGGCATCGATCCGATTAGCCTGTCATCCGCGAATCCCAATGCTTCTTCGTTCGATGAATTTGTAGGGTTCTCTGATTGTACGATTATTGGTAGTTTCCATTCGTACGTAACTCCATTGAATATTATGCTGCAATATTCAGTGGACTGATGGAAACTTCTGATGGTACATAATCGATGGCACTAGTATGACCATTTTATCAGTACAAGGTCACGAGCTTCCATTGGTGCGGTGGACTGATAGAAATTCTGATAGTATGAAAGATTAGTAATGCTTTTTCATTATAATGTCAGAAGCATCCAATGGTTTGTGCCCAACTCTCGCTGAAGATCAATAGTAATACTCGCTCATTACTTTATCCATCGATGGACTAATAGAAACTTCTGATGGTATAGTAGATCAATAATACCTTCTCACTAGAACATCAAAGGATTCCAATGGTATGAATTAAAATATTGGTGGACTAATAGAAACTTCTGATGGTATAGTAGCTTATTGATACTCGCTCATTACGACATCAGAAGCTTCCAATGGTATATATTCGACTCTCGGTGGACCGATGGAAACTTCCGATGGTATGAATGGTCAATGATATTCCTCCAACACGACATCGGAAGCTTCCAATGGTATATGTTCGACTCTCGGTGGACCGATGGAAACTTCCGATAGTATTAATGATTAATGATATTCCTCTAACACGACATCAAAAGCTTCCAATGGTATGCATAAGTCGCCTTTTCGACTTACAAAAGTTCTGATGGTACTGATATTGATGATCAATAATATCCTACTAATATTATTAAACCTAAAGAATGGTAGAAATTTCTCTCGTCACTTTCTGATTAGATTAGATGGGCACACCAGGCTGGGGTGGGCGATCAAGCAGGCAACAACACAACACAGCCTAGTTTGAGTACTCGTACTTGGGTAAGAGTGAATTGCTACGCAACGTACGAAGTACGTATTCAGAACGACTAAATAGACCCCTGGGCCGTTTGGCCTTAACCTTACTGGTTTTGGCGGGGTGGACAACCTGCTGCTGCTGGGCCATGCTTGGTGTGATCACTCAGCCTGATCTTTATAAGTAACTATTTCCACAATTAATGCTTTCATACATATAATTAACGAATTTTTTTCTGTCTTTCAAGAAAGAAGCATTAAAGGAGAGCCTATTAAGTAACGATTTTTTTTTTCAATGAAAAAAATCTATTTACACAATTAATGATATCAAAAAATGACTACCAAGTCAGCAGTAAAGGAGAATCTCTTAAGTAACCAATTTTTTCTATCTAACGAATCCAAAAAAGATAAACGTATGCACTAAACAATATTCTTGATAATTATCAGGCACTAACATAGTAATATTTTAAACTACTTAACGGGCTATATCAGAGTTCACTTACATTTTTCAAGCCTATATATTTCAAAAATCAGACTCCTTAGGTATGGTGGGCAATCCGAATGCATTGTGTGAGCACTTGGTGTTTGTGTGTGTTTGTGCAACGATTTCGACACATTATTTTCGACATTTTCCTTATTTTCGACATTTAGTCGTTCTGAACCAATTATGTTATTTTCGACATTAGTCTACATTTAGTCGTTTTGAACCAATCACGGGCACGGCGCCACACCACTTAGATTTTCGAAACGCCGGAGCTTGAATACGGATCGCGGACGGATGCCAATACCACAATCTACAATAGTCACTCCTCGTACCGTACGTACCGGTAGCGTAATTCGTACGTACTTGATACGAAAGATGATTTCGGGGAGAGAAGACGTCTCTGCCGCAGCAGATCTCCAAGATTGTATTGTTGTCTTGAATTATACAATACAGCAACAGCGATAAATTACAACCGCCACAATGATGAACAGAAAGAATATCGTTGCCCTCTTGGCTTTGGCCTGCATCCAAGACAGCGTGAATGCCGATTTCCGTGGATCGAAGATTGGTGCCAACCCGAACCCGAACAACACCATCAAACTTTCCCCCAAGGTAGGAGCAAAAGCAGAAAGAGCCCGCCAGAGACAACTCATGACCATCACGTTCCCAATGAAGACGAACAGGCCAACAATGAGACCAATGAAGACGAGCAGGCCAACATTTCCCAACGACGGGGGAAAGGCATCGGGAAAGGCAGCCCCACCAAACATGATGAACAACATGATGATGAACGACATGATGAACAACATGATGATGAACGACATGATGAACAACATGATGATGAACGACATGATGAACAACATGATGATGAGCATGAACATGATGGGCATGATGATGAACACACCCGCGCCATCCGCTGTTCCATCCGCTGTTCCATCACAGTTCCCAACGCCTGAAGGCTCGGATGAGACCTCCCAGGAAGACTCCCAGGAAGACTCCAACGAAGACACAGAACAAACCACAGGGTAATAACTGTGAGTTGACTTGAAATCGAATCTAAAATCGAATCGAATCTCAAACGAGCCAACCAACAGATGGCAAACAAACAAGACAGATGAAGCTACAAATAATGAAACAATTAAGGAATACTGTTACGAACCACGATAACTAAATCTAGACGGGGACGAAGGAAACCGAATGCTCGAGCCGGGCAGAAACCCTTGTCTCGGTCGGTGTCTTCTGTCTCGTCCGCATCGACATGGACACCGACACCGACTGCCCGCTTTCCTTGTGCCGGGGGTTGTGTTGGGTGTGTGTTCCCCGCTGCGGTGGGTCTTGCAATTGCAATTGCAACCGCAACGGCTCTGACCCCTGGCGTACTGCAGGGGTCATGATTCTGACCAATGGCGTACTGCACGTACTGCTCGTCACCGAGCTCCTGCGCGCGGCGTCTATCACATTTCGCAAAGAAGCCGGAGAACGGAGAACGTCAACAGTGGAAGTCAGAGAACAGACATCGTACCTCCCTGTGAATAAGTTCACGTTTGGAAAAACAAAAAAATGAATGGCTCTGCGGGCATTCCCAAAGCGAAACAATTCGAATGGAGGCGGAACGAGTTGTACCGTACCGTGCGATGCGTATGCTCCGACGTGACTGCCACGACAGGAATCAGAATTTCGGTGTCATGGCCGGAGAGCGGCAGGCCACTACTGTAGGATACGTACGACTGGGAACGAGTACCAGGTATGGAACGAATAACTTGTACCTCATCAAATCGAATCGAATCGAATCGAATCTCCTTCGAGAAAACCCCAAAATCGATGTCATCGTTCTTCAATATGTATTTCGACACGGACGTCACGGGTTTCGATTATCGCTATAATAAACTATTATTTTGCAGTAAATGGAAGTCTTTTCTTGATTATTGCGATCAACTGACAACTTCTAAGGCATACTTTATTAAGTGAGACCCCTTACGATGGTTAATGCAGTTCATCACAGAACACATGCTCACCACAAATAGCAATGTCGGACAGTTCTCAATGGGTCTTGTTCTTCAAGAATCGTGTTGGCGCATCACTCAGGGTCAAAGTAATATTTATCTTCCAAATGCTCTATTGCTTTTAGTTTCTCTTACTAGATATAGCACGGCATGCGAGCTATCAACCGACGTCAATCATAAAAACACCCAAGTAACCTCATATTAACGTTTTTCGTAACGTGTCATGTCTTGACTTCGTTCCGCATGCATTGTACTGTACTGCACGAGATTCGTACCGGTACTGCATTAAAGATCAAAAAGGTCTGCTGCATTATTTGTAGAATGCAAACGGGTCCCTGGCGTTCGCTTCCTACAATAGGAAGCATGCGCGTGCCATCCTCGTGGGTGTTCTCAGATTCTTGCTTCCCAGGTTTTCGCTGTGGGAACCATTCCCCTTTGTGTGTTGTGCGTGATCGAAGTTGATGTGCCGTGTGCGTCAGCGTACGCACGCGATCCCATCGAGGAACAGCCTCGTTTCTTTCTCTTCAGGAGCTGATGGAGGAATCGAATCGAATCCGTCCATCCATGGAATCTTGACATTGCCTGTGCCCTAGTTTGTGAATTTGTGATTTGTAAAGGTTTGTGTTTTATAACTGCGTTGAGTATTAATATTTTACATTGACGTGCAATCTATTTCTAAGTCTGTAGCTAATATCTAAATATAATTTCTCGAAAGCCGTTCGTTCGAGCCAGTGGATTGGTCTGTTTGTTTTTTTCTTTTCTTGGATGGTTTGCAAATAATGTATATGCAAAAATGTGTTGTATGGAGTGGCAAAAAGTAAAGCGCTATCCTATCGAAAGCTGAGTCACAGCTCGAAATCGAAAATATCTTCCTCTTCCTGGTATTCGTCTGCCGGATAGGGTAACTGTGATTGGTGGAGAAAGTATTGCTGCCCTCCAATCACAACAGGGGAAGGATGGTGTATCACCGCAGATTCATCCACGGTTTGATTCGTGGCCGCTTCCTTGGCCGACGGTTGGCCTTCGGGTTGTGCCTGAGGATATCGCAGGAGATTCTTGCGCCTGTGGTCAATGATGCGGTTGTACATCCGCCAGGTGGCGTAGTCATAGAGCTCTGCATCGCAGCCCACCTTTTCCGAGGCATTGGCCTGGCCTTCCGATCGATTGTATCCTACTGGCTGTGATCGATTGATGGCAATGGCCCGTGATCGTTGGCGGGGGAGGCATTCGCCGACTTTCGAAAACATGGTGCTTGTGTTGGTGTTCGAGTTGCGGGTAGGAGATGTTTTTCGTGTCTTGTTCTTCTTGCTGTGAGTCGTTGTAATGAAGTCGTTCTGTTTGCTGTGCGTATTCGAGATATTGGAGCTGTCTTTGTCTGCGTCACTTTTGGTTTTATGAGATTCTCGTCTCCTTGTTCTTACTTTCTTGTTACAATCTGTAATGCCGTATGTTATTGTAATTGAGTTCGAGCTCGAAGTGGGCCGATCGTGGCACTGATTCCTTTCTCGATCGAGGGGGCCGAAATTGTGAGGAATTAGATTCACCATCAGTTCTTGATTCTTGTGAATTCCTTTTTCCCGGTCCGTGGAACTGTAGGTTCCTGCCGTAGGGTTTCCATCACGACACGCGTTGAAGTAGTGTCCAGGAGATTCGTCGAGATCCAATCCCGCATCACGAACCCGCGGCGTACGTACCTGGCAACCGATATACGTACGAGCAGTACTATTAACCGCGTACTCGTCTACTAATCCAACCAGAGAATTAAGTGCACGTGAGTTTCGCTTTTCAATCGTGAGTGGAGTCTGTCTGTCGCCCGTCGATCCGGCGATGGGGGGAAGCAACGGTAAACTATTTTTGTTGAGGTTGTTTTCCGTTGCCGTCGTTGTTCTCGATGACGACGAGGCCTCGCGGTAAACCAGCGACGATTGCGGGGTGATTCTGTGCGGTTCATGCTGGGCATCCATACCAACAATGTTGGTAAACGAGCTTGAGTTTTCAGCTGCTGTGAACGAGACGGCTGCTTCGGTGATAGCGTCCGCCTTCGAGATTTCGTCGTCGGAGACTTCCATTCGGAATTGTTCGAGGGAACGCTCCGAGTAGGGGAACGCGCTGGCGTTCAGTTCGTTGAATTCGGCCGCGCTGAAGTTCATGGTGGACGTTTTGTGAAAACAAATGCGATTGACTATAGTATGACGTGATCTATTCGATGTATCGTTTGTGAACTCGGAAATTACTCTCTTTCTTTTCGGCAACTGGTCGTCTATCGGTTGTCTCTTCGTTACCAGGCCTTTGTCTTTCTTTTCGATTGCTGCTAGGAAGCACGTTCCTTCTGATTGACTGTATTGTTCTGTAGATCGTTTGATGGATGTCCCGAGTGGCTAGGGAGAGCCGTTGACAGGGCTGTGTGTAGCACGAGGCGAGGCCTTAATAGGCGTTTATTTCGGTTTTTTTTTTTCGTGTCCGTCGTGTGGTGTGTCTCGCTTATTTGTTAATGAGCGGCATCAAAATCAACTGTAACAGGATTTCCACGAAAGGGTTCTATTCTTTTAAAGAAAAAAGATGACAAGTTCGTGCGTGTCTCTGTTGTCGCCCGATAGGCATGCTCACTCCCACGGCAATTTTTTTTGGTTCTTCCATGTTCGTTAGCAGAACTTGATCACGAAGAATATCAACTTCAGAATAACGAACATCAAAGGCAATTGGGAATTCTATACACGTCACGAACCTGAGTTGTACCAACGACCAATCAGAATTCTAATGCTTTCCTTGCCCCGTGCACACTTTCCTAGATTTCTTAAGGAATCCCTCTGATTGGTCTGGCGAACCCGGGAATCCGTGTTGCTAAGGGCAGCAGATGGGTTGTGTATTGTGTGGACGCGGGGAGCTCCGAGAAAAAAATAATTCGAAAATTGTGTGGTCTCGGATGACTCAAGAAACTGAGGCCATATGATTGGCTTAAACATTTAGGAAAACAGTTTGCATCTGCAGGCTCTTTAGTCTTCGAAGAGCCTTCTAGACCAAATACGGACGTGCTCGTAGACAACAATACTAGAATCTACGTCGTCGAACGCTATCGGTGCAGGTCCCCGAATTGGAAAGGAAGAATGAAAAAAAAGTTTGGGGATTATTTCGGCACGGATTTGATGCAAGTACAGCTACGGCTACAGGGAATGGCGACTCAGGAGCGTGGCTGACTGTGATCATCTTTGTTCTCTGGTTGTGGTTAAAACTACGTGTGAGTGTGCCCCACGTACGACACGGTACTCGTACCGTTTTTAATAAAGAATTCTTGACAGTGAATTGCAGGGATTTATTTCGCTTGTTGTGATGCCGTAGAGTCTACTCTACCTTGACATCTTTTCCATCACTACTGTAATGCCCATCAAGAAGTACGAAATTCCTTTTGGAAAATGAGAACAAATCGAATCGATTCCTCTTTCCAAATTTGGAGAAGCATGCTTGTCGCATCACGCTTTTTTTACACCGATGATGTGACAAAAGAAAAAAGCTCGTGTCAGCATTGGGTGGTGTGCAGTGGGCGGTGTGCTACAATAGAACAGTAGAACGGTAATGCAGACCTAATCTAGAACACGACGCCGAGGAAAACATCAAAGGTGACCACTTCGGTTCTAGGCGAAGGAACTGCGCTGAGCCATGCCGCTAAGGCAGGAAATTTCACCACAATGCTTCAGCGGAAGAGAGTACGAACGGATGAACCGTGCCGTAAAGCCAGCCCTCAGTTGTTCTGGTAGGGCTTCTTTCCCCAGAAGCAGAATAAGAACTGCAAAAACTGGATTATCCATGTTAGTAGTCAAGTAGAAAATACGAGAATGGTACCTAAATACTAGGATCCTAACAGTAGTAATACAACCGTTTCTCCAAGTGATGTAGCGGTAGGGTTATGGAAAAAGATGTGAAATTTAGTGGAATGGAAGTACGTACTTCAGAGCGGAACATACCAAATTGGAGAATAGCTCAGCTCTGACTGTACAATAGAACGTTCTAGCGCTGATCTTTTGCCTTCTCGATTGTACTGTATTCCAAAAATACTGCTTGGCGTTCTGATTGTGCCGGGAGTGAATCGCATCACTCACTACCCGACCGTCTCGCGGCGTGGAGAAAAATGGAATCTGTCTCGGAACACCGACATCTCAGAAGAAACCTGTTTCGAGATGGATCGATCGATTTAGCTACTACACAGATCGCATGGAATCGTATCATTCCAACAACGCATCACGGCGGTGGATCGGCCTGCCGGTCCTGTGGCATCGGTCTAGTGTGGTTTTAGTCAGTCGTATGCTGTGTTGTGCTGTGATTTCATATATTTTCATTGAATGAAAACATATGCCATGGAACCAATCACATGCTTCTGTTCGGTTTCGATCTTCGAACGAACGCACGTTCGATTGTTGGTTCATTTGGTGTTTCGTTCCTCCTATGGTTCATTTTGCGAGGGTTCGCAAAAAACCACTGGCCTTCTTCGTTTGGTTTTCCAGCCATCACACCCATTCGTGGTCGGTTGTTTCGGATTCCGCATCCATTTCGCTGGACACCGATTCACTGCATTGCATTCTGTCACATCACATCACGTCACGTCACATCACATCACGCCACGCCACATCGCGTGCATCTCATCATCGCTTTGTTCCAATCGATCGCCCACTTGTTGCTTCCATCGTTCGGTGTGCGTGATAAGTGAGGCACGTCACGAGTGATTAGTTCTGTTTCCAGAATTACAAGTGTTGGTTTTTGTTGTAGCTATCGACTATCCTTTTATCATGTGTTCGTCCAAGAGCGCAAAGCGAAGCCATAGTTCTCGAAAGAAAAACCAGGCAAAACAGCACAGATCATGCGGAAAAGAGACTGTATCCTGGGCAGCTCGCAAGGCGGGAGGAAAACCAGAAGATCGCGCTCGGTCATTGGTTGCATTTCTTCTGCCTCCAACTTCACTTCACTTCGAACCAAAACGAAAGCGAATGGAGTCGATCGGCACCTTTGTGAAGGAGTGAGTGAAAGACCGATGGATTCATCCATTCCTCGCTCGCTCTATCCCCAGGCCGCACCAAACACAACCACCAAAGACCCCACGGAGCCTAAAAATTCAGCAGCTCCATGTCCTGGCGGATCCGCTCGTCCGAGGCATTCTCGCTCTCGTCGTCGCTGCCGGGATCGGCTTCGCCGCCGTTCAGTTCGTACTCCTCGGCCTGCAGCTCGAGCTCGTCGAGATCGGGGAGGGGGTACCGCAGGATCGCCGCCACCCCCGAGACCTGCTGGAGCTGCTGCCCCGACACGTGCAGGCTCGAAAAGACGTAGACGGTGCCGCCGTTGGCCTCGACGTCCTCGACGAGGCCAACGTACATCTTCCTCACGGGGGGCGAGGAGGCCCGAAAGAGCTGGTCCGTCACCAGCAGCTTGTCGATGGCGAGCTGATCGGCCGCCGATCGGACGTGGTGGAACCCGTAGTAGGCCCGGTCGGGATCGACGTCCATCGTGCGCATGAATTTCTGCAGGACCGCGACCTCCTCCATGGCCTTGGTGGACTCGATCCTCTTGCAGACGGTCGGGTCGGAAAAGACCTCCTCCAGGGCGTGCTTGTGCCCGCTCGAGGCCCTCACCAGGACAAACTTGCCCTTGTTGACCGCCTCCATGAAGGGCCGGTCGTCCCGCTTGAAGCACTCCTCCTTGAGGTAGGCCATAAAGTCGTCCTTGACATAGCCGGGGCTGCCGAGGAGCACCGCCTTGACCGTGGCGAAATCGACGTGCCTCAGAATGGCCTGGTAGACGGCCTCGAAAAACCTGGCGATCGCCTTGGCGTTGTTGCTGGAGCCGGTCCGCTTCTTGGGAATGTTCGTCTCGATCCGTGCCTTGGTGACGGTGAGGGCCCCCGTGACGAGGCAGACGTGCGCAAGGCCCGAGTGCATCACGACGGCCGCCAGCTCGGCCCTGCGGTCCGGGTTGCAGGCGTCCTCGACCACGTCCAGGTAGATCTTGTCCCAGCAGTCCTTTTCGAGGGTGAAATTCTGGTGGAGCTCCAGCGTCAGCGTGTGGTGGGCGCCCATCCGGACCAGCTCGTTCTGGTTCTCGACGACGCCGCTGAGGCGGACCTGGAGGGCGTCCGGGTCGAAGTCGATCGTCTTGAGGCGGATCGTAAGCATGAGCCGCTTCTTGGAGCTGGTGGTGGACCCCGTGGAGGACTCCTTGACCACCTTGCGGACAGTTGTGCACCGGACCAGATCACCGGCCCGGAGCAAGTTGTACGAGTGCCACAGGTCCTCCGGGATCTCGGGCCGGAGCATGATGCTTCCGCTCCCGTCCTTGGCGCTGATGTTTTTCTTGATGATCTTCATGTTGTTGTTATTGTTATTGTTGCTTTGTCGTCTGTACTGGAGTGTGGTATCGTGCGGTGTGTTGTGTTGTGTTGTGTTGTGTTGT